CACCCATCAAATGGCTAAATGTTAAAGTCTTTACATTAATAAACTTCATATATATCAGTAAATAATGAAAAATCTCTGATTCCAAACCAAGAAGTAGAGCCATCTGTTTAAGTTAATACCTCTATTCTAAGATTTTCATTTTTATGTTCAAAATCTGATATTTCAACTTATATGACGGTGAAGTTTTATCATATTTTAATTGAAGATAGTACTTATGAATTTGAAGATTAAGTTGCTACCAATTCGTTATCAATTTTTATTTTTGCTGTTGATGTAGGATAATTGAATATCAAGACTTTCAAGTTAAAACTAATCATACTATGATGCTTCAAAGCAAAATCTTTGATAAGATTATCCCCTTATGATCTTAAAAAATTGAAACCTATATAGATTTATTATCAATACCTGTACACGATGATATTTATTAGGAAACTATGTTGTTAGTCATCCATCCATCATCTAAAGATATGGAGGAGAAAACTTTTTTATTAAACGATTAATAAACTAATTCCCAAAGATTTTGAGTAGTATTTTCCACATTTAAATTAAATTCAGAAAATCCCCAATAATTCTCATTAGAGACCATAGTAATTTAAACCGAAGAACTTGAGTGAACAATATTTTGTGATATTTAATATGATCCATATGGTGGACAATTGTTTGTAAGACTGAGTTGGGAAGTTAAGATAAGTAGTTAAAGGTTGTTATCAACATATAAATAGAATTTATATTAATAAGAGGATTTACTATCTTCATAAATATAATTACATCCAAAGTTTAAATGACAGGTTGATTAAATCATGTAATGGAAGCTCAAAAGTTTTTGAAGTTAAACCATTAAAATAGTAGTTTAAGCATTGGTTCATAATTACTATGTTTGATAATCCACAATTTACCACAGAATAACTATGATATTCCATTTAGTAAATATTCCAATCTTAATATAACAATAACATACCAAAGCTTGTTGATGTAAAAGCTCCATAAAAATTACTATAAATTAGTTCTGATCTACTAATTGTTATTAAGAGGACATAAACTTTCACAAAAAATAGTGTTTTCATTGTAGATATCTCTTAGTTCTATAAAATTCAAAAAAAAATTGATTTATTTTATAATTATCAGCCTCTATAATTCTATTAACTCCAAAATAAATTAATTAGAAATCACTGTCAAAGCTAAATGCATATTCAAGACATCTTATTCTAATATGATACTTAAATTTATTAAATATTTATTTGTAATTTAAAAATATACTTATGTAAATATATCAATTTTATTTTTAATTCGCTTGGTTTATATTAAATTAGGAAGATAAACTGGAGCATAGAAGTCAGTTTGGCCGAGTGGTTAAGGCGGTGGACTTGAAATCCACTGGGTTTACCCGCGCAGGTTCGAATCCTGCAGCTGACGATTTTTTCTAAGGTTGAATCATATTTGGATATAATCGATGGTTAAAATAATTCTTTCAAAAAAGATAAATAGTTATATAAGGCTACTATCTTAATTGATCTCAGGTGGTTTAATTAGAACTGTCTAGTTCAAGTTGTCAATCATTCTAAAAGAATTTTAAGAGTTTTTTTATTGGAAAGGTTTTATATTATTTAGCTTAGAAAATTTAAATGATTTCTTTCTTTTTGGTCTTGTCAATTCAAAATGATCTTACAATCCTTCAAGTTTTTAATTTATATTAAATACAATAATGAGTTTAATTATCATCCTACAATCATTAATGTTGGTCTGGATATAAACTTTAATAGAATTAAATTAATGAGAATTATTAATTAAAACCTAATAAACATAGGATTTAAGAATGTATTCTAATTATATTAAATATTAAATTATAGATCACTTAAATTTTATATATTGATTTAAAAAATATTCCAACACGAAAAATAGTAGTTCCTAATGTTATTTATTTTATATTTATCCAACTTTCTAAAAATGACTTTCCTACTGCTATAACTATACATAATAATATATGAAACAATGAAGAAATCATAATGAAATTATTTATAAAATGTACTTTAGTGACTAATAATAATGCAAATTTATAGAATCAATAATCCTTTCATTTCTTAATCATACTATTAGAACGTTTATTCAATTTTATTTCCTTTTTATTTGTCTACATTCCAATAATATTATTAAAACTTCTTAATTTCTTGTTAATGCTTTCTAAATACAGAAGTCTCATCTTTTAATTTCTATAATTTGATATGGATAAATAGATTTTTTTGAATGTTCATTTCATATTCTTTAAACTGTTTAATTTTATTTTTCATTTAAGATATTTATTTAATCTTTGCTTTAGAATTCATTTTAGATTACTAAAAATTCATTCTTTATCAGAATCCTAAAATTAGTTAGTTTAAAGACACTTGATTTCTTATATTTGTCTTAGTTAATATAATATGAGTAACTTATTGATTTTTTAAGTCTGATTATCTTTTAACATTCTTCTCATAACCAGAACTTATGAGAAACTTCTCTTTATAAGGTTTCAAGAAACTTTCTAAAATCTACGCTTTATAATCCAAAATATTAATCTAGATGTAACTTTAACAAGTGTCTTGGATACTTTAGATTTATGAGAATTATTTTCTGTCCCTTCAGATAAAATATCAGAATGAGTTTCTGTTTCATCAATTTTTTCAATTCAAATTGGCTTTGGTTTTTTTATTTATTTCTTTAAGTAAGATCAATATATAGAGGATTTGCTTTTTCCTTTCGAAGTAGGGATGTAAATTTGTTCTTACTATTTTGCATACTCTCAAATAATTCAATTTAACAATAATTAAAATATATTTCGTTTAGAAAAAAAGGACTGATATTTATTTTTCATGGTAATATTAGAATTAAAGTAAGAATATCATAAAATAAAATGATTCATAGATATGAGGAATTTGATAATAATAAAATTTAATGTTAAATATGAATATATTGAAAATTCATTTCAACGAGGTGCTTTTTACTTAGTCTTTCTAATTCCAAACTTTTTTACTATTTTGATCTCTTTGGCATCAACCTTCATTTATTCTGAAAGTGTTTATTTTTAAATCCTTTACAAATACTCCTTATATTCCTTCTTCTTCTCTGTGGCCATCTCCACTTATTATTGTAATTCCTACTAAAATTAACTATACTTAGTATTGAGTTAATCTTCTAACTTGGTAAAATAATTAATTGTCACTTAATAAAGGTCCTACATGAGAATTAAGATATTTAATTTATTATAAAGAAATTATAATCAATCTATTAAGGATTTAATTAAATAAATAATAAATAAATATTAAGTTATTATTTCTTTTTAGGAGTCTTGTTTTTACTTTGCTATTTTCTTTATAAATGTTTAGTTTCTTGAATATTTTATGTCTGAGTTCTATTATAATTCTAATTTTAGTATAATCCTGCAGTATTGTTGGCTACTTTCAGTGATTATTATTTTTCATATTCAGGATAAGTTTAGAGCTGAGAACTGAAAGTAGGTTATATTAAGAGTATTGATTGGAGACATACCTACACCATACCAAGAACTTTGATAGTAAAATTTAATTTATTAGAAGTATTATTTTTGAATTTATTACTGCTTTCTTCTTTAGAAACAAAAGCCCAAACTTCAATAGGCTAATGATTTTTTTAGTGATTCTTTAAATTTGTTTTAACTTCTTCAAATTTTCATAATTTTCTAAATATAGGGTTTCAGGCTAAGCACAAATAGGATCAGCTTGCTTATTTAATTATTTATATTTTTCACTAAATACTAATATATATTTTTTATTAGAGTATGTCTCTAAACTAGATAAGAGTCTCTCTTCTAAATGTAAGAAACCATTTTTAAATAAGACTCTTTTTAGAATATACAAACATAAGGGAAGTTTATGTTTTGGTTTCAGATATTATTCTAAATAATTATTTATAAATCAATTAGTACTCTCTCAAATAAATAAATGAGCAATTTCAACTTGAAATACAAATTGTTAGAGACTAATGCTGGAATATTATACTAAGCAGAGGAAGAAAATGAAAGGCAAAAAATAAATTACTATGCATATGATTTATCACCTGATTTTCAAGAAAGATGCTTTAAAGAGGAGGCAAAAATAGAAAATTGTAAATCAATTCGGCAGCATGTGAAATAAATCCTTTATTAAAATAAACCAAGGATTCTTTTTCAGTATTAGGATGGCTTAACTCTAGATAGAATTATTTAAGAATATAGGGCAAAAAAGGAATCTATTGCTTTTACTGAAATTCGCCTCTATTTAATTTAGATTCTTGATACACTATACCATCTTCATAGTCATTATATCTTAGGTCGAGTATTTTCAACTAAAAATATTCTCGATTGCTAAGGATAAATTTTATTCCTGGACTTTGGATTTGGCCCAAAAATTATGGAGTAAAATGTCGATTTAATTGCACCACCTGAAATAATTGAGAGTGTATTTCTTGAGAGAGGTAAAAATTGAAAAATACCATAGAATAATCTCATAATTAATACAATATGAAGGTTGATTCTTGGCTATTAGGAGCAGTGCTGTATCATTTAGTTAAATTAAGTCCTATAAACACAATAGAAATAGAGAAAGGGAAAGTCAAATGCATGTAATTTAAAGACACTCCTGCATATTCCGCATATTTAAATAATAGAATAAACCAGAATATTAAACACATAGAAGCATTAACTGACAGATATGACAAGGAGTTTTGCTACTTTATCTAAGGACTATTAACTTACGACCCTAATAGCAGGCTTTCATTTTTATAAATTTATAAACATAGTTTTATTTAAAACTTAAAAATTCCAAATTACCAAACTTATTTGTAATTTTATGAAAATTACAATGAATAACAATTGATCAAATAAATAATGTTGTACGAAGATCATGGTTCTAAAATATTGAAGACTGGGTTACTTCTGAATGGATAAAATCTTTAATAACAAATCGTATAACCAGAGGACAAGTAAGAATATAAATATGTTATATTTAGCATTCCTCACTTGATTCTCGACAGTAATAGGTATATTCAAAACAATGAAGATATTGAATTTCCATTAACTTCATAAAGATTAAGTGAAAGTATTCAGTCGGAAGTAAAGGATAATAGTATAGAATATTTATTTGTGCATCAGATATAAGGCCTGAATGTAATTCTACTGTCTATATATAGGAATCTTCATTTTATTAAATATGGTTACGAATAAGAATGGAATTATTCAGATTTACATTTTTAGAACTAGTTGCTTAAGAACTTTAAGAAGAATTACCAAAAAAAGAGTTTAAGTTAGAGCATGTTTGTGCTTATTCTTTAAGAAAGATGGGATATTTAATTTTGATTGATTTATAAAAGAAAATCAATGAAGATGTTTTTCCCTGGAAAAGTCATCAACAGGATAATTAAAAATGGAAAGACTTTTAGAAGGAAACTTAGAAATCTATTTTGGAAAACAATATCAAAAGGAAAATTATAGAGATGGAGCCGACCCTCAAAGAAGAATTTCTAACACATTGTAAAATCTATTTAGATGATTAAAGAATTGATAAGGTTATTCGAGAAGAATTATAAGCAGATGAGAGATGTTTCTAAACTTAAAAAATAGAAAGTCAACCAATTTATAAAACTTATTCTAATGACTTTTTGAAAAAAGGATATCGATAGATTATGTAAATGGCGTACAATTTTTTATAACGAGAGCAGAAACTCGCTAAAAAGCCAGAATTAAAATATAATACCTTATTGCTGAAAATTATAATATGCCATTTAATTAATAGGATATTCAATCTTGATAGATTATCAGTTTCATTTAAAAGAATTTTACAAAGCAGAAACAGGCCTCCCTTAAGCCTGATTAGTCCAAATGAGATATATGAATACATTTGCAGAGATGGAGAAAATGAAAAAATTCAAGATATTCAGTACCTTTTATAAGTTGAATCTGAATGATTATATGCATAAAAATATAAAAAAAATAAATACCAAAAATAATTACCATTGTAAAATAAAACATATCAATGAAGTGCCATATCAATATTATTCAGTATAAAATTTTAGAATTCTTTACCTATTAGACTTTTTTGGGATTTTAAAAAAATCTAAAAAATCTATGTTCTAACATTTTAAATTTAACAGAAAAAATATTTAAATAACTTTAAAAAAATTAATACAACTTAATTAAAAAAATCAAAAAGCCATATAAGTTGAAGATTCTCTAATAGGGGATTAATACTTTAAATCCATAGGTGAAACACAAGTTTAGGCTTCCTATGATTATCTCAAAGGCGAACCAATGATGGCTTTCAAATTGACTTTACTTAAAGGTGAATTAGATTTTTAAACTGAGATGGATTGCCTTATCATCATCTCCTTTTAATTTCTCATTTTTTTGAACCATGTTCCAGAACCAATGCTTTGAGCAGTTGGTCTTCTATATGGCGATTTCTCGAGCATCATAAGTATCTGATCTTTGCACTCATAACTAATATCCTTTCTCATGAAGATATTATCGACATTCGGAAAATTATTATGTAATAATTCCTTGAATATTATATAAAAATACATATAAAACAATGCCTAAACTCCAAATATCGACCTTCTCACTTTGAGTTCTTATCTAAATCACTTCTGGTGGCATATACTCAATTGTACCACATAATTATGGAGAGACTTCCCCATAAATCATATTGGTTGCCCAAGTGAAATCTGCAAGTTTTACTTCATCTTGGTCTGTCAGAAGAATATTGGAGAGCTACAATTTGATTAATGAGATACTTTGATATCTCTGTGTAATATGTTATTTTAATGTAAATGCTGGACTGCCGATAAGATTTATGAAAAATAATGGAAGGCTTTCTCTTCTTTAAAAGGGCCACTCAGTTATAACTTACGGAATAAGCACCCTCCGCTACAATATTCTAGCATCATATAGAGAAATATGTCATCTTCAAAAGTATCTACCATAGCAACTATATTCGGATGGGACTAGGTTTATTATATTTTCATTTCATTCCTTAGATTTTATATGTCTTAGGCACTAAGAGACTTTTTAATGACCTTAATAGTTAGATAATTTATACAATTTTAGCGGCTAAGTATGTTCCATTACTTTCGCATTAAGCTAAGCACACAACACCATAAGCTCCCTTTCCCAAGACTTTCTCAAAGATTATGTATTTTCCTTTTGTTCCTTTGACTATAACTTGCTAAGACATTTATTTATTTATTATATAAACTAAGACATATCAATTTGCACTTAACAGTATATTTTCTGTGCGTTTTTTGTTTGAATATTAGATAACATGGTAATAAGTGATTTTGCATTAATTTCAACATCTGAACTAAAACACACTAAAACATGGAAATGGTTTTCTTGCATATTTTTGAGACGTCCATTGTTTATTTAAAAATAATGACTTAATGATGACCAATAATTTTTTACTAGTTTTATAAATTAAATTTTTTAATAATATATATTATATTTTAGTTATTAATTAAATATATTATAAATGAAATAGAAGGAAAATATTTATAAAGTTCATTAATCATAATTAAAACATTCAAACTAAATTATATTGTTTAAATTATTTTATTATTTTGTTAAAATCCTATAATTAAGATTACTAAAATCTAATTTATGTGATAAAAAAAAAACAAATTTGTTTCTCCAACTAAATTTATGAAAAGATAGCGATCACAATCCTGGGATACTTCTAATCATGATTCTAGTGAATTAATAAGATAATAATCGGAAAAACCCTTGAAGGATGAAAATGTTTGATGTTGCTAAATAAAGAGTATTTTTGCTATGATTGTTAATCATCAAATAATTAAAGATATTTCTATCATTGAGACATATAAGGAAGTCGATAAAGTCTCAATCCATCAAAAAAACTATGTCAATTATGCGATAAAAAATAAAAACAGACTATTTTGATTATCCTGTTGCTAATAGATATTCTTAATTCAAAAAATTATATAAATAAGTAATTCAGAATATTCTATTATTTATGTAGTACAAACGAATGATTACGCAAAGAACATATATTACTATTGATTTATACAATATGTAAAAGGAAATGATTTAAAACCTGAATTTATTAACTTTTTAGTAAGTTTTTCAACAAATTTAAGTTAGAAGATAAAGATGCTTTGCAAGAATTATAACCGTTTTCTGAAATCTACTAAGAAAGAAGAACCCTTTTAACTAGTTATTAACAACAACAAATACGATTATAACTCAAGAGATAATTTGCCCACTAATCAAGCTCGAAAGAATAACAATGACTTTTAGAGTAAGATCCTACCTTAGAATAACTCCAAGAAATTATAAATCAACATCTATATCTTGGAAATTAGTCCAAGGTATTATTTTGGTTAATTAAAGAGTTTGAAAACCATACTTTCTAGTATATCTAAGATTAAATAGTTAGGACTATCCATCCATTGAAATACAATTTGGAAAAAGCCATTGAGATTTTAACAACTGCTAAATAGAAGTGGGTGACCTCTATGGTTTCTAGATAATTATTAAGAAAATTAGATGATAATAGATATATCTTATCAAAAAACCTATTTATGGCAAGTTAAATAATTGTTTAAGAAAGTAGTCTTTTTCTCATAAGAGACAAGATTAATTCTATTAGGTAAATAAGTATTATATTATTGTATCATTCTTATGCTCGAAATTATAAATAAGTTCTGGAGTATATGAAAATGGCATTAAAACAGTACTATCATTTAAAATATCTTTAATAAAGTTTAAAAAATTATAATTTACCCCTTTGCTTTTAAAGGAAGTAAATTATTTTGAGAAGAGTATAAAACAATTATAAATTTTAGAATCTGAATGAAATTATTATGCAATTAACTTAATGTCGTTTCTCCATTGAATTTTACACAAGAAATTATATTTAATTGCATTATTAAATTTTGTTTGTTGTAAAAATACGAAAATGAAGAATAACATATTCAATTTTGTCTTTCATAGCATATTACGTAAGCATGCTCAGTTATAATATCTTGCAATTAAATTTCTGTGACTTGAGAATCATCATAGCAATACCATTTCTAATCCTCTAAATTTTTAATGAAGGAATTATAATGGCCCTCCTAAAGTTCTCCATAATGGTTAATGACTCCAAATAGTTTATACTTTAATTCACTTATATCATGACCTTTTAAATAGTCATTTGGCAACTAATATATATTTATACTTTTACATTTAAATTTGTGACATATTTAGCCATATTAAGTATGAATGGAAATTTGACAAGCATGTTGTTTTTTATTTTTTAAGTAACATCATCTGATGATTTAAATCTTTTGAGTTAAAATATCAATATTTGAGGTGTAGAATACAATAAGAGCTACTTAATTCCTTTGACATGTTAATCGCATTGATTGCAAAACCATGAATTATTTTCATCTAATTATTATTGTTATTATGAAAAGTTTAAACAGTCATAAATAGTTAGCGAAGATTTATTAACAGAAAATTACTCGTTATTTTCTTATAATTTTTAATTTGAGATTTCTTTATTAAATATAATTGGAACTCCTTATCCATACCATTTAATGATAAAATTCAATTAAAAGCCTGGTTGAGAAATACAATTATTATAATATTTTAAACTGTGTTAACATTTCTTTAATTCACAATACTTACAATATTATTTATGACAAAAGTAACATTATTATTCTGTTTCTTGAGAATTTGATTCCAAAAATAAGTCGAATTAGCATTTAAATTAATGATTGTAATTTTTCTCAATATGGTCGTAGATTTCAAATATTTTAGTTCTGAAATCGAAAACAATAGTTGTTATGTCTGTTAAGATTTAGAATTCCTGGTTTACATGAGTTATGAGAGTATGGCATCTATAATTATAAGGCACTTATATTTCTTGGATATTCATAGGTCTAACAAATAATTTTGAATTTTAGAGTTATTGCTTCAAATATTGAATGTCATCTTCTGGTCGGACTAATAAAATAAATATTTGAGATACTTTCAATATTCTTTTGTTAATTTGATAAATTGAAAACCAAATCTTAAGTTCTAAGTTGGTTCCTGATTTCATTTTAAATCCATTCAAAATTATAATTTTTATAGACAGAGAGAGTCATTTATTTCTACCTGAATTTCTCATCTAATAAATAATAGACTATGCCTTTTTCGTTTTTCTTTGTAGCCAATGGCAATGATATCATCATATATGGATCAAATCTAATTAGGAATTTAAACTTACGTGATGGACATATTTTTACAATTAGGACATTCGATTTTGCTTTTGAATTATGCTTAGAATAATTGTGTAATAATAGATTAATTTCTTTGACTATGAACATCCCAGGATTCTATTGCTACTACTAAGTCCTCTCTGCCTTTACTTGAAGGTATTGTCAAATAGGGTTTCTTTTTAATTAAGTTTACATCTTCGTTAATTGCATCAAGTAATTACAATAAAAATTCTGCTGCATCGTGTTAGTCATTCCCATAATACTGCTAATAATTATTAACTCTGTACAATATTATAAAATTTAGAGAATGTTTTTTTAAATAAATTCGGAATGATGTAAGGTTGTTTTCTACTTTTTAATTCCTTGATTAGAGCAGCAAAACTTGAAATAATCTCGCCTCTACTTCCTAATGGATTTATTAAGTTTATATCAAATTAATAAATATCATTTAAAATGTAATCTGTGAAACCTGGAGTATTGCATAAAATTTGGATGGCGCTATTCATAAAGCAAGTGTTTCCCATATTTCCCAATCCTGTTTATTAACTATATGAAATCATTTTTAATTATATTATATAATCTAATTTCTAATAAAGAAATATTATATATATATATAGAAATGTAAAATCATTCATACCTAAATTTAGTATTATTTTATTGCATCAATAGAGGAAGAGATTGTAATTTGTATCCTTTTGGAGGATTCTACAATTTTAAACTAAACACCTTGGGTTTAAGATAGGCACCATTCATTCCCTATGGATTGGTCTATTAATATGTAAATTGAGATGATATTATCTATTGTTTAGTTGGATTCTCTTATGGTTTCTCCTGTTCATTATCCTAATTTTATTTCTAAGAGAATTTAATATTTTTAGTATTCTTTTTAATTGCAAATTGTCTGACATTTTTAATTGCTATACCCTACAAGACTCCCTTAATTTATGAAAGTGGAGATTAAATGTTTTGTCCATTTTGATACTGAATGTGCGAATTATTTAGTCTTTTGTCCTCCTTTCTTTACTAAAAAAAGTCCAAAATCTACAACTCAAACCCTCGTTTATCCGTTTAAGCATAATAATCTTTGATTGATTCCAATGACTATTATTAATAATCTTCATAAGGAACGTAATTATCATTGTCAACCTCGGGTATGGTATTTATTTAATTTGGAGGTTGCTCTTCCCCCTCTTAAATTACTTCATTCCCTTTATTCTATTCATTTTTAATAATTGGAAATAAATTAGTATTGATTCTACTCTGAATATGTTTATACAGAGTGCTTCTCTTCTCAAGTTAAATCTTCTTAGGTAAAGATTAAGATTTATTTTGAGAATCTTAATTTATTTATAGAGATTCCTTTTTCTGGTTTCTTCTTATGTCTAAATTAATTAAATAATAATTTACTTGCTCCAGTCCACTCCTCGTAGATCTTTAAAGAATGTTGTAAATATTCCTCATAAGATTTAGAACATGGATAAATCAATTCAAAATTACCCTTATTCTACGATTCATAGTCGTCTCGTTATCTTTAAAGTTATAATTTGATTTATTTCTTCTCTTCATTTGTTAGCTTTGTCTTTTTACCTGTCAAAACTCTCTTTTACATTTCATCCTTTTTCTATTAAATAACCTCATTCTTTGTTTTTAGATTGATATTCATCAATGTAATAGTATCAGTTATTAAATTCTTTTTAATGTATTGATCCAATGGTGTATCAGCCGTAAAACTAGGTGTGTGATTGACTTCAAGTAAAAATGGTTTCAAAGATCTGTCTATAAGAATATCAAAGCCAAGAATCTCAAAACACATATTATTAGCATAATTATCAACTTGGGTGTAATTTTATTGTAAAATTGGCTAAACTGAACAAAATGTTTTTATTATTAAATCTTTTATATCATCCATCAATTGATCTACATTATGATTCTAATTTTTAATAAAATAATTACTAAATCTCTTAGAAGTTGAAAAACACTTGACATACTTCTTTTGTGTCCAACATCCATTTTCTTTTCATCTTAATTGAAAATGAAATTTGGATTATCCTTATTTATTGCATAATTTGTTAAATGCATGCATATATCCTCTAAATTGTTTAGGTTCGGAGCGATGTATGCTTGAGTTGCAAATCTTGCTAAGCCTTCCTTATACAAATAAAGTCTTAAGGGATCGCAGCCACAAATCAACACGTACATTCTCAAATCAAATTTTAATCCGTCGATAAGAAGTGGCTTATGAATATATCTTTGTGCAACATAATGTTCAGTAGGATTAATTGATTCTATGGAGCGAGTTAAGAAAATTCCTATTTATATAAAGTTGGAACCATACCTCTTCCTTAACATGATGCCTCAGGTTTGAGTATAAATGTTTTTGCCTTTCCAAATTATTGTTTGAAATCATTATACTCACTTGGTAACATCCAGGTTCTTGGATAAAAGTCATATTCTTCTGGGAACTGCTTTTGCATTTTGTTCAAATTCTTACCCAGATGGTTTTTGCGAGCCAATGAATACATGCCTGGAAAATGATTAATCTTCTGATGAGCTATAATTATAGATATAAAATGTATGTTACATTGCATTTTGGCTAATGTTTCAGGGAGAACAGCATTGTCAGTCCAACAAAAATCCCAATTATTAATTTCCTAATATGGAACATATTGTAGTTTGAACTTATAAATCATTTTTCCTACAAATTTCACTACGGGATACTGAGTGTCTATTTAGCAAAGTCTGAGATACCTGAAACATTCATTATTAAATTTTTATTTGTGTTTAAAAGCGATTTCTTTTTCTTCTTTTTATTTAACTCCTCATCACTCTCATAATCTTAGGATTAATCCTCGTTCTCCTCTTAACTATCTTCAAATTCTCCATTGAATATAATCTCTTTTTCTTATTTCATCTACTGTTATTAAATATAATGTCTAATAATTGATCAAAAATAATGATTTTTATATGTATTATAGAAACATAAATATAATTAATAATTAAAGAATTTTAGAATGACTGATAATTCCAATTAACCTCTCAATGCTCATCATAATTACTCTTAGCTTCAAAGAATAGGGAAAAAGGATCACAAAGAAAACACAGTTTCAAAAAGAAATAAAAGTTTCATCCAAACCTCCAAAAACTAATGACCTGTTAAAATTAAGATTGATCTAACTTTACTAGATTTATTTCTTCATCAATTTAGAAAAAAGAAATACTTTAATTGAATTAAGCTTCCTTTTAGGATGATCATATCGTTGAATTTCAAAAATTTACGAAAATGCCATTAAACCATAAAAGTTGATATTGCATTTGAAAATGAATTGGGATAGAGAGTTTGCATAATTTTATTCATTTATTTTGTAATAGCATTAATTCTAAGGCATTACAAAATATTTTGAGTCTAAACTTTCTGTTTTAACATTACTTTCCTAATAGTTGATTAAAGATATTTTACCCTGCATATTGAAACTAGATTTTGATTAATTTATGATTTATTATTAATTGATTGATTTAAGAAAAGCATTACACATAGATTAATTTAATGTCATAACTTAATTTATTATATTAAATTTTATATATGTACAATTTATTTTAATTTGTGATAAACGCAATTGCCTTAATCAAATTAGAAAGTTTTTTCTCACAGATTTTCTCGTTCTAGTGCAATTAACTATTATAATAAATTCTCATTCCAAAATAATCAAAAATATATTATAATCACTCGATTATAATGGAATTTGTAATGTTTAATTAATTTTCATCACTAATTCTCTATGGTTTATATGTTCAAAAAACTGAGAAAAGATTAAATATAAAAGAATAAGCATTATAAAAATCACTTTAATCCACTCATCAACCTATTACAAATTATCAACTCGTGGTAATAATATAGTAATTTTGATAGTGCTTAAACGTCAAATTATTTGGTTCAATTTTTTTATAACCATTCTATACATCTTTATTTCTTATCTAAAGTAAATTATTGCATTTACCTTCTGTAAATTGCTTCTCTAAATAAATTTAATATAACTATTCGAAATCTAATTCTCTTTGGTCTTTATCCTTTTTAATTGTGTCTTGGGTGAAAGTGTTCTCCGAAAATGGTGAACATTCGGAATCCTCGTTGTTACATTTATTTTAATCTGTCTGGATTTTCCTTTTAAAAATGATATCAAAGTTGAGTGTCAAGGAATTCGAAAGACGCTCAACTTCTATTTCTGCTAGTTTCACTTATTCTTTTGTAAACTCTTTTTAGATTAGGTGAGGATGAGGTTTTTATTTATATTGTTTGTAAATTTTTCGAAATTGCTTTAAAATAGGTACTTCTTTTTTCAAAGCAAACCGTTTTGAGCCTTGTTTATGGGAAGATTCTAAAGGTTATTGAAGCATGTTTAAGTGTCTTAAATAAAATATAACTGATAATAGATTAAAAAACTGATTATGAATACAAATGAATTAGAATTATATTCAATACTCACTGGATTTTATCATAATATACTATGATTATAATATATCAATAATCTAAATATGAAATTTCTTAAATAATGTCTACTTATTTCTAAATTTTTCCATCTTATAAATTCCGTATTTATAAAATACAATCCAAGTTGATAATTTGATTCATCTTAAAATGTTACTTTCGGAATAGAATCTTACTTGATGATTTCAATTTAATTTAACGTTATAAATGAAATCTTAACATTAAATTTACTTATTTTTGTTAACTCTCCAAAGTAAAAATAGGAGAACTATTAACTTTAATTACTATTTTGAAGAACTACAAAATGCCCATATGATACAAGCAACTCATTTCTCCTGATGTCAAAAGAAAGAGGACCCTTGATTAAGTCTATTCAATAGAAATTTTAACTTGTATTATTTAAAACAAGAAATTTATGTATTAAAACTATTTTTTTAATCTAAATAGTAAATGTTATTTCAAATTGTAATAAATTGTATTATATTATAACTATGAATTATAAAAATTAGACTGGTTCTAGGGATAGAATATAATTTATTGAAAATAATAATTTTCTAGACATTCATAAGAATAATGATTTATCAAAAATAAAAATCGATGAAACACAAGTTGATATATATGCACTTTAATTCCCGCAAATTATTAAATTAAATATTATAAATAAAGGAATTTTCTCACTTTTAAGACTCCGGATCATTTTTTAATAATAACTAAAATATGTAATTTAATGATTGATCAAATCTTTATATATATTTCAAGAAAATGCCTTCTTTTCTTAAGGTTAGATAAAATAATGCCTAAAAGGCCATCGCTTAGAATCAAAATAAATGAAAGAAACGAAAAATTGATAAAGCTTACTGTAAAACCTTTTGTACATCTTCGAAGAAAACATCTCTTATAAGCTAGTTTCTGCTGAAAGTAATTGGAAATAAGCCTATTCCTTATAATCATAAATTAAGATTATCTATCAATAATATGATCCATTTTCTAAAATTAAAATATTTAGAAAAACTAAAATGGATTATATTATTATATTCCTAGGAAATGACTTATTAGAGGAGATCATTTTTTCGATTTACTACATATATATATTGTCAATTAATTACATTAAATTTTCTTTAGTAGTTTGAATAATTGAATAGTTAGGAAACTATCTTAAAGAAATATATATCATCAAATTGTTATGTAAGGTATATTAAAATATTTTACAAATTTCCTTTATGCGTAAAGGATTGTAAATTTTGAATAAACTTAAATTCATATTCCTTAACTATATTTCAATATAATAATAATTCTATTATACATATATAATTTTGATATAAAAATCGCAACCAATTTAACTCTTTAAGCTAAACTGATGCAGAACTTATAATTTGTTATTGACTATTTCAATCTTAATTTAATATTTTAAGAAATCAAAAAAATAAATAAAGTTTTAGTCAATTTTTTGAGTAAATTGTATATAAATATCTCAAGATACTTCATAGATGTTAATCACTATATTAAATCATCTTATAATTTCTTTGTTTCATTATTTTTATTTTATTTTTAATACCCTACAATAATTAACAAAAGAAGGATATGTTTTTAGAATGAAAAATAAAAATATGATATTTTGACACTTTTTATTTAGGATAATGTTTTGTTATTAAATCTTTGGAATATTTATTTATTATAAATAATTATTTTAAATAAATATCAATTATGAGTAGAAAACAAACAAGTTCCAAGTATCATTTAAAATTTATCTCACTTTAGATCACCCTAGATTGCAAAATCTATCCACAAGCAAAATAAAGACTCAGATTCTAGTTCCTCAGAGAGGAGGTATGGCAAATTTTGGAAACCTAATGAGGATTCTTTATTATTAGAATTACATAATCGGCATAACGGAAACTGGAAATTAATTGCTGAGGGCATTCCAGGTCGAAATCTTAGTTAGTGCTAATAAAGATGGAAGAGAATTAATCCAAATAAAGTATTTTTGCATCTATTTTTTTGAATAAACTCCGAAAATAATGGACAGATTTGGAAGACCAAGAAGTGATAAGACTAGTTAATGAGCATGGGCGGAACTGGAAATTTATTGAAGGACTTATGGAGGGCCGTTCGAGTAAATAGATCAGAGAAAGGTTCTTAAATAATTTGGATCCTGAAATAAATAGAGAAAAATTCACAATATAAGAAGATCAAATCATTTTAGAACAATATCGAATATATGGTCCTAAGTGGAGCGAAATTGCAAAAATGTTAATTCGAAGACCAGTACAGTGAGGACCTATCATTAGGAAAATTAAGTGAAGAATCGATTTTACTCTTATATAAAAAGAGTTCATATGTTAGATGAAAGATCTGACGATGACGAAGATGATCGATCAATGGAATCAGAGCCAGAGCAACCACAAAAATAAGTTCCGAAGTCTAATTTGAATGTGTCTCAGCCCATATACCAGCCCTTAGATACAATTTAGAGTTTGAAAGAGGAACATGACAATACTAAAAACGATTCATTGTTAATAAATTAGACACCATCTCATCGTATCTAGCAATCTATTAATTTGATATAAGGTCGTTTTATCATTTATTTCTAGATTCATTTGATTCTAAGTAATTTGGAGGGATTGAGGAATAAGATGTTTCCCCCTTTAATTAATAACATAGAAAGATATTGGAATATAGCCCTATTAATTTTTAGTATGCCCATCATTAACCCAATTTTGACATGATCTAAGAGGACATTAAGGAGTTAAAATGCTAAATAGAAAGTTTCAATATAGAACATCCTATTTGAAATTAAATTTTATTTTTTTATTTTAGGAAGAAAATTTCTTACATATTTTAAATTTATATTCATTCTATCTTTCCTAAATGTTGGTTCGTTTAAAATAGCCATATGAAAATAATAACCTAATGATGATATATTGAGTCCAAGTCAAATCAGATCAATAGAAGTATTTTCAAAAGTTTTAAATTTTATAATAATAATATATTTATTTGAATATCGATAAGGTACTAAATTAAATACCACATCTTATTATGAATTTAATATTTTCAGACCTAGAGTTTTTATGGATTTTTTGAATATCACATATTTGATTCATGTCCTATTAACGGACTTAAATCAGTTAATCTTATTTTAGTGGTTGTAAAATTTATATATAAATTTAAAATCTAAAATGGGATAATGCAATAACTGTTAATCATGCTAAAAAACTGATGGCAAAGAGCTAACAGTAGATCAATAAGTATTTAAATATTTTAAGTGTTAGGCTTACAGAACTAGTTAATAATAAAGTCAAGTATAATTATTATTAGCCTTCATAGACCAGCAAATAAAGAGTATCTGATATTAATGGCGATAAGGGAAGTAAAAATAAGAAGATTAAAGCTGCAACAATAATACAAGCCCATTGGAGAGGGTATGCAGTTCGAAAGAAATAATAAAGAAAGTCAATTGGTACTAATGATAATCCAGGTGCCCCTCCGATTACTAATAAATATTTTAGCACTGATAAGGATTATGCCTAATAACATAGCAATTCAAAAACAAGAGAGAACAGACCACCCTTTAAGTATAAGAGTGGTGCTATATATGAAGGGGAATGGATTGGAAATTCTAGGGATGGGTAAGGCACATAATTATGGAATGATGGAGCTAAATTTGTAGGATAATGGAAAAACAATATGGCTCATGGCAAAGGGGTGTTTTATCATGTGGATGGAGATGTTTTTGAAGGAACTTGGTTGGAAGACAAAGCATGTGGATTTGGTATCTATACCCATGCTAACGGAGCAAAGTATGAAGGAGAGTGGCTTAACGATCTACAACATGGATTTGGAGTAGAAACTTGTAATTAATAATTAGATTATGATTATAGGGGCAGATGGTTCTAAATACGAAGGCTAATATTATATGGGAAAGAAGCATGGCAAAGGAAAGTATACCTGGAATGATGATAGTTTCTACGATGGAGATTGGGATAACAATTAGATTAGTGGAAAGGGAATCTATTAATGGAGTGATGGAAGAAGATATGAAGGAGAATGGCTAAATAATAATATGCATGGATAAGGACATTACTATTGGCAAGATGGGAGATCTTATAAAGGAGGATATATCGATGATAAGAAACATGGTTATGGTGTTTACACATGGGCGGATGGCAGAAAATATGAAGGAGAATGGGTTAGTGGTAAACAACACGGCAGAGGGCAATATATTTTATTAGATGGATCAGTAAAAAAAGGAGAATGGATAGAGGGGAAGAAAATAAAAAACATCCAAAATTGACTTATTTATTAATTTCAAATGTTTATAACTATTCTCATTTATGAAATCAAATTAAATATTTATTGAATAAAGATCATTTAATTTATTGATCATTTATCATTTTTGCTAAATCATTCGTTCTATTAATTCTATTTGAGGTAAATTTACTATCTATATAGCTTCTTAATATAAATAATGATTATTCATCAAACATTTCATTAGACTCATCTTTTTTAAATCTATCTGAGCCTCCATTTTTCTTTTTCTATATTATTTATTCAACTATGCTATAATTGTTTTATTGATTCTCTATTTTCAGTTAAGAAGAAAAATATGATTTTTTTATATTTGAGAAGGGGCTTTTTTATCCATTTATTTATGGTGAAGGTATTTACATTGAATTTATCCTTATATCACTTTTGCTCTGTGCATTCTTAGAATTTTTCACTGATATTGGATGTTATTCAGAATTTATCCCAGTATCAGGAGAGGTAATGATTTAAATGTTTGACTTAGTCTTTTTTGGTTGTTTTTTAATTTCGGTTTCTTAGAATAGATTAGATTCTTCTATTTACCTAGAGTTATTTTCATCCTAAAAATCAAATGATAATTTCCGATGAGTTTTATAATAATTTTGAATTTCAATACCGTATTTTTAATAAAATTCGGTTAGATAAATGTCTCGAAGAATTTTCAAATTAAATATATCAAGGACTATTAAGCTTACCTAATATCTGGTCTATAAAATTTATTAATTTAAGAGATTATCGATTTATTGCTTTAACTCTTTTAAACATTAATAATTAATCTATTTTTATTAAATGTATTCTAATGTTGCTATTAAGTCTCCAAAGTAAGATTCTAACTAGCTTTATGGATTTTAAATTCTCTAAAAAATCTTCTCAGAATGCTAAAGAATCTTAGTAACCAGCCTAATTCTATCAATTTATTCTGATATACTTATATAAATAATTATGCAATTTGTAGTTTCGAAAATGTATGATCAATTAGTTGACTTCATTTTGACTTACTTATTCATCTAATTCATCTACATTCCCTATATCGTAATCCTAAACCAAATTCGATTCTTTTTTTTTGAGGATTTCTAATTCTGAGTTGACTGTATCGGAGCTAATTTAAATAACTCTTTGACAATAAATTTTTAACTCCTCCATAAATCAATAATAATAATTATAATGAAAATGCTATACGTAACAAGAATATTGATATTTTATAAAATTGCTTGTTTTCAGTATAATCAGAAGATGGTTAACAAGCCTTAATGAAGTATACTCTTAAAGTCCTTTTAAATATGGAGATTTTATTAATTAATATTTTTGTTTGTGAAATATAAGGATAGTGTTAACTTATGGGGGATATTAATGAAAAAGATAAAAACACTTCCATAGGATGAAGAAATTTATTAAATGAGCAACCTACTGGTTGCTTTTAAAATATTTTTATTATTCAGATGTAAGAAATGGTGTATATGTGGTTTGTAAAAGGTACTTTGTTTTGTAAAGTTCTAAACAAAGTCATTTATTTAGGTTGTTGTTAACCTCAATGATACTTTAATAGTAAATGCTAAGAGATTATGTCAATTCTTCTCTAGTTTTTAATAAGATTAGACAATAACTAGTTTAATTGAATACATGATGAGTATACTTTTATTTAATAATAATAATTGAGATTAAAATTCAAATTTCTGTATATCTTTCTATTGTCTTAATTATTTCAGTTTACATTACTTCAAAAAATTCATTTTGAATCTGTTTTTAATAATACTCCCATATTTTATTTATAATATCTTCTATAAATTTTCTTATATGCGATTTTTCTAACCAACATAATTTCCTCATAGTGAAAGAAACAAATTCACATTAAAAAGTTACTAACATATTTTTTTCAAATTAATTGTCAATACTTTCAACTTTTAGTTTATTTCCTGCATTGCCTCTGAATTAACTTTCATAAAATGAGTTCAATTAGCTTATCTCATACATCATATCACTACATAATTAAGAATGTGCTTCTTGATACATTGTAATATTCATGTCTAACCTTCTTAGTATTGTAATTAATTAAATTTCTTTGTTTTCAAATTCTTAAGCATAACAATAATAACAAAGCCAAATCCAAGCTTCAACAAAATTATTTTTATCTATTTCTTTTAACTTTTCTTAGAATGTCTAAGCAACCTTCTCAATTAATTCTAATTGAAATGGATTAATCAACAGTTAATTATTTTCCTTCTAAGAGTACATAATTTCTATTTATTCTTCCAAAAATTATTCCAAATCTTTTAGATTCTGTTATTCAAGTAATTTTCTTTATTTAAATGCATTTTAAACTTTTTCATTTCTTCCTAATATTTTCTAAATTAATGAAAATATTTATTTAAGATCATTACTCTATATAGGTGAATCGTCTTAAAAATTATAAAATTTTATTTAAACCTGATTAAAATTTAGGTTTGTAATTGAAGTACAATCTAATTTGAAAATCAAAATGTTCTCTAAAACAATATTGTTATGATATAATTTTAAATCTTGTAATTTTGAGTATTCTTTAATTATCAATGAGATCAAACTTATTATTATATAATAATTATTGTTTTAGTAGGTTTTTGATTAATTAGTAGTAATGATATTAATAAATGATTTTAAGTTGAAACAACATATAGGATTAAAAATAATGTATGATAAAAAAGGTCCCTTTAATTTTGATAAAATAATTCCTTAGTCTTCTCCTAAATATTAAAAGATATTTTAAACCCTATGCGTGTTACTCTTAGAAAAATGTTATGAAGCCAATAGTAAATTAATTTATTACATAAAATAATAATAATAGAATTTTATAGAATTAAAAGCTCATTTTTAATTAATGTATATTTCATGTTCAAAATTTATTTCAACTCGTCTCTTTTCTAGATACTTCCATTCTTATAAATTAATACTATATTCCTTGTTTTGAAAATTCTTTCATCTATTTGTTGATTGTTTAAGATGATTTTACCATTTTTATGATTTTTCATAATTATTTCACACAATACTCATTCATAGAAAAATAGATAGATCTTAATATCAGAAGTTACTGTTTTCATTGATATGTTAAATTTATACCATTTTGTTTAGTTACTCTTTTAACTCTTGCAAAGAGACTTATTTTAAGAATAAACTAAAAACTTATTTTAGTTTTCCTGTAATAATAGTATTTTAACTGCTTTAAAATTGAAAAGGAATGATGATGTAAATGTATGAAGAATAAGAAGATAAATCGACATTAAAGGAATTAGGAGAAATATAAATCTGCATTAATAATAATTCATTCAAATTGTTATTGATTTTATTTGGAAGTTTACCAGATCTAAAAATAATGCACTCATAATTTCATCTATATTTACTTTCTCCTTTTAATCTTTCATTAAATGTATTTAATAGTAGTGAAAGTAGTTTTTGGCTAAAGTGCTGAGTTCCATATTAAAATGCAATTTTAAAATATCAAGTCCTCTCAGAAGATATAACACTCTCTCTTTGTAAGTTTAAGATTAAGTTATAGTTTAAATCAGTAAATTCTTATTGATTATCTTAAACTTTTAATCCTTAAGTACTTTTGTTTGCTGCTCTAGAAAGAATTATAGTATCTCTTAATCTGTAATTATTTTTCCAGACCATTCATATTTAAATATAGCTAATCTTTCATGAGTATATTAAAAAATGTCCTAAATCTGTCTTTCCAAGTCAGGTGTTGACTTTTTAAAATTCAAAATAGATAAATAAATCATCATTTTGTTAAAAGGAATGACTTGCAAATTTTCTTATTATAGGCATTCATATATTTGATCTCTTAGGTACTCTTTGATAAATTTAATAATTTGAGTTTTATCATTGAGAACTTTAGAGAAGAACTTATCAAATAGATTATATTTCTATATTACTTTTATTATTATTAATTCTAATTTTGCCTCGCTGCTAGCTTCATTCTTAATGAGACTTGATAGTTTATCAAATAGGTTTTATAGTTAGGGCTAGTTTGCTATTGGTTTTAGTCCTTCAACTACTTTAGTAAAATATTTTTTAGTCTATATTACAATACTTTAAAAATTCTCTAAATACTCTAATCTATTATATTGATCAGAAATTCCTTTATAAAATGCATTTATTGCCATATTTAATCTCTTGGTCTCTAAAGTTTAAATTGAATAGCCTAATGATTACGCAGATTCATTATCTTGATTGATATTTTACACAAAGATTTTCTTTGTGCCCTTATAATTAGAATTTACTTCAGGTTTTATTTTTAATAGATATTTAATATAATTCTTGAGATCTGATATATTCTTGCCATCATTGCTTTTGGGAACAAAGTTTAGGATATATACATTCCCAATTGTCCTTTTTACTTCCTTTTTTCCTTCCATTTTTACTTCCAACCATATTTTTGAAGAATCTAAATTCTATAATGATAATTTATCATCCATTTTCTCCTCTTTTAATATTATATCTTAAATATTGAGTAATTCTTAAATCTCATTTGCAAATTTTTTAAATTCTGCCTAGTCTGCATATAAAAAAAGCTCTTCTAAAGATATATGCATATTTCTCTAGAAATTATAAGTAATGAACTAAAATTCTTCATCATATATGATAAAATTGGAAAGAGGTATTTTTTTCTCCTTATTCCATAGCCTATGATATTTAAAGAAATCGAATATCAAATTGAATGCGGCTCGTGATCTGCAATAATGGTAAATTTATGCTTTAATTTAAAATTCTAGCATTTTCTTTTATATTATTTATTTACTCTTAATATTTCGTAAATCATAAATAATATTTTATCACTTTCAAAACAAACCCAAATAAATTTTAATATTTGATAAGACTAATCTCTGTTCCTAAAATCAAAAAATTCTTAGATATAATTATTATTTCAATTCTTATAAAATACTAAATAATTGTTGAATGGTGATTTTAATACTCCATAAATAGCAATATATGCTTCAATGTAAGTTTTAATGATATAATAAATTTTTAAGAAGGATTTTCGTTAATAAAATAAAATACATTTTCTAATTATTTATTGAACCTAATTCTAATTTGATTCTAATTTTAGGAGTACTTGGTTATAGAATTATTCTATTTTAAAAAAATCACACACAAATTTTAATCGATATCATAAAATATGTATTAATTATTAGCCTACAAGAATGTTTAAATAAATAATTTCTATATTTTTTGTTCTTCAATTCAAATTTCGGTGAGAGCCAAATGATTAATTAAGAATAATAAGAATTAAATTAATTTTTATTATATAAAGACTTATATAAAAAATGTTTATATTCTCAATTTAAACCAGCATATTTAAATGCACTAAGATTAGAAAATAAAATTTAAAAGCTCAGTTATTGTAAAGTAACAAAATATTACATTTTTTGAATAATTTAATATTCTAAATATCTTTTTAAAAAGTGGACAACAAATGTGTACTATTAAAACCTCGCTTTTTGAGAAAACAGAACCGACGAATTTTGAACGCAGGGTATGTGGTACTTGATTGAAAAATTTTTCTAATAATAAACAAAGGTAAAGGTCTTAGGGCTAATAATAATAGAAGGAAGTTTTAAGATTAGATAGATAGGAAATTTGATTTGACTTCTATGGACTGCCAAATTAAATGGCAATATGAGTACCTTGCCAAATAATATTTAGGGATAACATAATAAAAGAGATGATGGTGTATAACACAAAATATAATTAACGAATTGTATATTGTGAGAAGCACACAATTTTGCTAGAATTGCAATCTAAACTAGATGGAAAAGCCTACTATAAAAATTTCAAATTGTTTTACCAGAAATTAGAGGTATTTAGAACCCATAAAAATGTCGAAGTAGTTAATCTTCATCATCCAAATTTAGATTATGATATGTAAAAATATAATAACAGATGAAGTTTTGATAGCAAAATAAGTTCAGTTTCCAAGAAATAAGCACTCCGATTCTTATCATAATGTAAAAATTCCAAAAATTTAGTCTTTTGTAATGAGTGAAGCTAAGATATATATGAAATTATCTTACAATCCCCATCAATATCTTTTAGGGGCAAGGTAAATTTACATTTGCGATCAATCAATCATTTATATCATGCATCATTGCAAAGGAGGAACACTTTATGACTATCTAATTGAGAATGATTAAAATTTGCCAGAAATAGTAACTAAAGAAATTATGAGAAAGTTACTAGAGGGGCTTAATCATCTCCATAAACTGGGAATTATGCACAGAGATTTAAAATTAGACAACATCATGTTACTAAGAAAAAAAGATCCAAATTCAATTAGGATTATGGATTTTGGGTACTCTACTGTTGTTGATGATGAGAGGTTATCAAATTAAAGATGCGGGACCCTTGGATATATTGCTCCAGAAATTTTAAATATGAATGACTACAACGAATTATGTGATATTTATAGTTTGGGATGCGTCTTTCATGCTTTATTAACAGGGAGAAAACTTTATAAAACACCTAAGTCCGCCAAAGCATCAGATTTGTTGATAATGAATAGAAATAGCACAATTTCAATTTCTTAAATTTGTAATCCTCATGCCATGGAATTATTATAATCAATGATATCTGCTGCTAAGTAAAGGTCCAGTGCTGCTGTCTGTTTGCAGCATTTATATTTTGAAGAGGAATTATTTTAGATACATTTAATATATTCAAATTTTTTGTTATTTTGACTTATATAAGAAAATCATAATGGACTTCTAATAACATTTTTATTCAAATATTAATAAATTTTAAACAATTCTAAAATGAATTAATTAAGAGTTTGTAGAAGATCACAACACGGAGTATATTATTAATATTATTGTAGATTGAGACAATTTGATTTTCCCCAGCTGAAAAATCCATTTAAATCTTGAGAGAAAGTTGTGAGTACTTTTCTTTGTTTATTATTAAGATATTGGCTTTAAACTGGTTGTATTCAAATTATATTCATAATATTGTCTTAATAACCATAATCACCTCCAATCTAGTAATTTTAATTAATAAATTTCCTTTTTAAGAATTAATTTGTTTTTTTTATTTAACTCGTCATAACTTTAAACATTTAAACTTTTGCATAAATCATTGAATCAGAAGGTAAAATACTAAATTTATAAATCAAGTTTCATTTGCGAGTATATATCCAATCATGCCATCTTTATATATTTTCTTCTCTTTACACACCATTGTAGCCATTTCAAGATTAAATAAATAGTAATATTATATGATTAATTCAATTAAAATAATATTAAATCATTTAAAATATGCCTTTTATTTATTCTTAAAATCAATAATTTTGAAATAAATTACAAAACATGACTATTTAAATTCTCTAAATGGCTATCATTTATTTAAACTTTATAATTTTCTTATGTATCTACTTTGAAAGAAAGTAATATTATGTCCGATATTATATATCTACACGATATATTTAAAAAATATCGAATTTTCAATTTATGAAATTATATAGACTAAATTATTTAGTAGATTCTAGTGATCAATAATGATATCAATAGAAGGGGCATTGTACAATTTGGTATAAAATGAGAAAAAAGTCTTTTGAAGCTAGTCTTGTTAATATAATAATTATTTTTTTATAAAGTAATCAAATAAGAATAAAATCTAAACAACAATTATAAATTATTATAGGTTTCTAATAGTATTACTTAGTGAGGTTTGATTTTAATAAATTAATGTAAATTTAATAATTAAATGTGAAGAATTTAAGGATGAGCTTAATTTGAGTAATAAACAAAAAAATGAATTAAATTCAACAGGATTGAATATTTTTTGGTATTTCAAATGGCTCTTTTTCCAAAGAAGAGCAATTAACTTGTTGTGAATACCTGCTACACCTATGATGTTAATCGAATTCTTAAATAGCCTTACTTTCAAGCTTTATGCGGATGATGAAATAAACTAAAGGTTCGCTACTCACTAATTCTTTGATGCTAAAAATTTCATTTAGATATGTTTCTAATTAGTTTTATCTCTCATGTATCTCATCTGGGTTATCAAAAGTTTATCCAATAAGTTTCCTTTTAGGAAAAGGAGGAAGTTAATTTTTGAATTACTTATTTTCCAATAAAGAATGATAATCCTTAAGCTTGCTATATCGAGTATTAAATTGATATTTAATATTCTTTTTTTAGTCAGTTAAGGTAACAGAATATAGCACGTAGTCTTGCTATTTCACGTATTCTTCAAATTTAAAATAGTATCTTTATTTATATCCGTTTGTTTTTTTGGATTAACTTTTTGATGGAGAAGAACTTACATCATGACGTTATAAATATTGTTGTTTTAATTCTTACATCTATGGCCAACAAACATCTTTAGTATATTGATGGTTTGTGCATAATTGATTAATTGACTCTTCAAATGCTTCATTAAGTGGTTAAAGGTCTCTGATAAACGAGAATGTCCATAGCATGGATGTATTCAAGATGATTTCCAAGTATTACTACAACTCCAATCCCTAAAGAATTCTTATTAATTATTACTCTTGTTACAATATCAGTCTCAGAATGCTTAGTTCTTCCGAATAATTTTTTTTTGGGGAATTTCGGTAGATTCAATTTAAGTTTGAATTCGTGATTCTTTTATATAAGTTGCTCATTTAAAGCTCTCAAATCAGAGTATCTTTTGTAAATCACTTTAGAGTTGTGCAATCCATTCACAGTGATTTTGTAAAAAATTACATCGTTTCTTGTTTCAAAACCAGATATGGTTACCAAATACTTCATCATTTTTACAAAGGAATTGTATTTTATATCAATAAAAAAATAATTATATGTATTAATTATATATAAATTAAATAAAAACGAAACAAGCATTAATAAATTGAAGATATCCTATTAAATAATATGTTACTCAAACTTGTGAAATTAGATCTTGCTTTTTGCAACAGTGACAAAACATAATTGATATAATCAATAGTAGAAATCCAAATTATTGGAATACTTTTCTCTTAAGCAATGTTAATTTCTTTATTCAGAAATTAATAGTGAGATCAAATGCAAAACACTACATTATCAAAGATTAATATTTTAATTTATAAAACCTCAATGCTTTTTTTTGTGATGATATTTCTTCTTCTTTTTGTTTCTACTTCTACTTCTAGAACTTGAACTGGAGCTGGAACTAGAACTCGAACTTGAACTCGAATGTAATCGTGCCAATTTCATTTCCTCTTGTTTCTTTTTGAACTCTTAAATTTTATTATAAGTGGTTTCATTCAAATTAGGTCTTGCCATTTACATGGTAAAGTCAGAATTTTGAATGACTTAACATTATACCTTTTGAATATCTACACTGCAGGGCAATTTTAAGTCAATTATTGATTATTCACTCTACATGATTACACAATACTTGGATTCACTATTAATTTGTATATATATAATAATTACCTAATTTAATGAAATAATACACCTCCTAAAGTAGTCATGTGAGCATACACTTATGACAGATTTACTTTGCCACTCAGAATCACCGAATAAGGTTTCAATACCTCATTAAAAGGGTCTGTTCGCTTCTTCTTTTACACACAAAGCAAAGAGATGTTCTTTAAGACTAATGGTTGCTTCTTTAAGATCTATTGGCAAGGTATTCTTTCCACTTGCAATTCCAAATATTCATATGTAATGTCTCCGACCTTCTCAGATCGAAAGATTCCCTCAGGCTTCACCACTAAGTCGTAGGTCTGTTTAATCTCGGTTATGCATTCCTCGATGGTAAACTCCTTAGGTATTCCGAAGATGTATAGTTATTCTTTCGATATGTTATCTAAATTGGTTATATTGGTACAATTATAGGTGGGGATGTACTGTTGGGGTTTCTCCTTCTCACGGGACAATTCTTTCTATTGGGACTTGCGATAATCACTCTATTATTCTTTCATCATATGTCCTTGTTCTTTGAGCATTTCAGTGTAGACTTTGGATAAGACTGGGATAAGCTTATCTCTCGTTTTAACGGAGACCTTTCCTTAATAAACTTTGAGCGCATCGTCATCATATTTGAATCCCACAGCTACATCAATTGTTTGTGTTTCCTTATTAATTGAGCTAATTTGTAACAAATCGCATGGACCCTCTTTTAGAAAGAGAGATTCTTACAGCCTTTTAAATGCGTCCATGTAAATAAAACAAAAATTCATCTTCTGGCAATCCTCCAATATACAAATCTTTGAAGTAGAAATGTATCCTAATTTCAGACTATCTCTCTTCCTTGTACTTGTCACATTGGTTAATAAAGATCTTTTTCTCCGGAGAGGAAGATGAAGACGAGGATGATGATGATGATGAACTATTCTTTCTTCTCTTTGACATTAAATTTAAATAAATTATATAAATTTTTATAATTACAAGTAATAAACAATCAAATAAAGAATAACCTATAATATTGTCTAAATGCTATTCAATCAAGTAAATAGGTGAACTAATTCAACTTAACATTTGATTACACAACATACTTATTTTTGTATTTAAATTTAGGTAAATTCTATGAATTTCATTTAATCTCTATTGATGTAATAATTTAATAGTTCAATCAAGCAACCCTTTAAAATAGGGATAAGGAAATAATTACAACGGAAATCAATAAAAATATTTAGTTAATTCTTTAAGAGAAATGGATGTTTTCATAAAAAAGGTAATAGAATTTATTATTTAACCAGCATGCCAGTTAGTATAGGATATGTCATATAGGAGAAGATCTGAGATCTGAAATGAAAAAGGGATGATATAATCCCAAGTTTAGAATGATAATAAAAATAATTAATTTAATTTATATTAATGAGTTCCTCATCTAGTTCTTCATCATCGATGTCTTCATCAAGATCATCTTCCTCAAGTTCATCATCTTCGTCAAGATACTCTCACAAAAAACAACAGCGAAGAAAAAACAAATAGAAGGAGGATTAAGATGCTGGCCATTTTGAATATCAAATAGGCATGAAAATAAAAGCAGGATAATTTGTGATCACACGATTTTTAGGAGATGGCACCTTTGGTCGTGTTTTAGAAGTTAAAACTTGTAATGCTACTTGTAATAATTATTATGCCATGAAAGTAATATTATTTGGATTTAAAAGTGCATAAGGGCTGTGGAAAGGTACATTGAATCGGCAAAAATAGAAACCAAAATATTGTGGTATATTTAAGATAAGGATAAGAATGGGGCATTTAATATTGTTAGACTGTTCACGTCATTTGAAAGATATGACAATTATTTCATGGTTTTTGAGAGGGTATTTCTAAAATAATCATTAAGTTAGGGAAATCATTATATGACATAATAAAGCAGAACAATTACATTGGATTCCCGATCTAATATGTTTAATCGTTTGCCAAATAGATTATCATCTCTGTTGCCTTCCTTCATCAGAACCAACTCACTCACACAGACCTCAAACCAGAAAATATCTTGACCACCAATTGCGAATATAAACTGGTCCCCTTCAAAGGAAAACAGTATTAATTTACGTTCCATTTAGAATCTGGGTCCCTGAACGAGAAATTCTTAAGATCATCGATTTCGGAGGAGCTACCTTTGATCATGAATACCACAGCACTGTCATTAACACCAGATAATATCGTGCTCCTGAAGTCATTATGGGCTATCCCAAATGGAATGAGAATAGTGACATCTGGTGCATTGCTTGTGTCTTGCTTGAACTATATACAGGTGAGATTATTGATCCCAATTATTCTAGGCGAGTTGTATTTCTAAAACAAAGATGATTTAGAACACATAGCCATGATCGAAAAAGCTATTGGACCTATGAATTACCGTCATTTCAAGAATTCCAAATATAAAACATTCTTCAATTATGATTAAAAGTACACTTATTGAAATTAGAGGTACTTTGATTAGCATCGATCCTATTTCAAATGGAATTCAGTGGCACCAAGTGATTCTGCTATTGAAAGAGTCAAGAAATTGAAAACTTTCGAAGAATTAATACCAGCTAAACATGCCCTCTTTATTGATCTGATTAGAAAGATGCTCCAAATAGATCCTGAAGAACGTATGCCCTTACGAAAACTAATTCATCACCAATTTTTTCAACAGGTATTCTAAGATTGATTATCATCTAAATAAATTGTTCAGCTTATATATTCATAATCTCTTATTCATATATATTTATATCACTCAAACTTAGTTTAGTATTTAAATAAATGTAATTAAAATTGAAATCCTACGAACTAGAATATTTCGATGAGATCCTTGAAAAAAAAGTGTATTTATGTCCAATCAACAAATCTCATTCACTAAAATCCGTAGATCAGTTCATCTAACACCTACACACTTGTAAAGAAAGCGCCAATTACCAAGTGAAGAAATACATATGTAGATTTAACTAATTTCATTGGTTTAATACTGCTAAGGTAATATGTGTAAATTATCAAAAAGGATAGAATAGTACATGAGTTCTTCTATTGCGAAGATAAAGAAACTGTTATGCCTTAAAATGAGGTCATAATAAATCAGATGAACGAAGTATTCTTACCATTAAACGAAGATCATAGTTTTCAACTCAAATAATATTTCAAAAAAGGTAATTCATAAGCTAGACCTAATTTCAGAAATTTCATTTCGGAATTTCAAAGGAGAGATCCAGAAAAAGAGTCCTCGGTCAAAAGAATTAAACTAAATTAATGACTTTGATTATTAATTCTATAATCAAAATATATAATAAATTTATAAATTTAACAACAAACAAAGACAATATAGGATAATAGCTATATATATCAACTTTTTAAAACCTAGAACAAACATTAGAAATAAGAGAATATCGAAAATTAAGTGATTAATTATTTTCTAACCAATAAATTAGTTCCTTTCATTATTTTAATTAAAAAAATTCAAAGCCAAGTTTCTTACATTTGAGTATTTATTTGCTGCCACACCTATAATACTGTCTACATCATCTTATTAAAATGTTTGTTGTATTGATCAGTAAATGTTTCATATTCATTTTTGAAGTTCTCCACAAATTTACTCATGTTTTTTTAATGATCGTTCAATTATGTCTAAATCAATGCTTATTACTCAGGCTAATTAAATAAATGAATATTAATACAGCGTATTTGGCACTAGTCAAAGCAGCTGCATGATCAGTTATCGATTATTGTAAATCAGCTCTATATTTAACAATATTCAAAACTACTTCCATGTCTAATAAGTATTACTAGCCTAATTTTCAACATATTATTACATCAATCGTGTAGATTATTGGCATTACACTAGCAAAGGAGTCTCTTAATGCTATTGATATTGTTTCGCATTTCGTATTCATATGCTCTTTATACCCAATATCATTCTGGATCTCGTCAAAAAGAGTAGACAATTTCATAAATTGTTTGCTCTGTTCAAATTTATTTAGAAATGTCTTTTCTAATTAATCCCTAATATTCTTGATCTTAACCTTCTAGATATTGATTTCCTATACAGCAATTTAGCAATATTTTTCCATTTCGTTGTCGTTGTTTTGTGGATCTAATATGGATCATTAAAATAAATACTAAAGAATATATTTCCAATTTTTCCAAATGCATTTACAACCATATTTTTACTGACATTTATCGATAGTTTCTATTGTTTTTATGCTTGATAGTTCTGTACCAGTTTTTTGAAGTCCTAATCCTATAAGGTCATAAATTTTTCAATAATTTCACAATCCTTTAATTATAAGTGACTCAGAGTTTTTCTTAAAAATTCTTCAAGACCCTTTTATCGCTATGATCTAATAGAATTAGTATAGCCTGTTATGTTGAATTTAGCCAACATGTTCTTTTAAGGGATTGAAGGTATAATGATACCTGGGAAGTTTTCAACGAGCTCTTCGAAAAGCCACTCAAAATCAGAATATTATCTTGTAACAAGTGCCTTATCATTTTCATCAATATAACTTTCAATTTCATAAAAAACAGTCTCGTATTTTAACAACTATTAATTGATTTCCACATTCTTAAAACAAAATTTTCTTTCCATAGCTTTGTTTATCTTTTTCGATAAAGGAGGTAACTAATTAAAATTTAAACAGCATACTTAGACAGGCTGAATCTTCGGTTTAACAATTTATGTACTTTCGTATGGCTTAGTATCTATAGAAACTGAGTCCTGTTCTTTAGGTGGAATAACAAATTCATCCAGTCCTGAATGGTAAATATTTTGTTAACTGTATTGAGTCTCATTTTTTTCCATTTAGAATTCATCACTTGAATCCAAGACTTCAACGTCATCCATTTTTTTAACAGTTTGAAGTTGATTAAGAAATTTGTGATAATCACATTGTGGTTATTCTTCATCTGACATCCTAGCAATTAAATTAATAAAATAAAATATAACAAAATCAAAATATGAATATATGAAATACATTACAATCCACAATACTCTTTAGTAAAATTACTCTACTATCTTAGTTATCAACTGCTCAAATGATTAACACAAGATTGTTCAATTTTTTAAAACTATTTCTATATTTTAATTATTATAACTCAATATTGTTTCAAATATACAAAATATATCCATCCTAAATTATAATATTAGGAATATAATATCGAATTGAAAAATTACAATAGAATATTTTAATATATTGATTATTTTCATTTTTTTTATGTATTAGCTCGATTAATTAGGTAGTCCACAATTTCTTCTATTTGTTCAATGAATAAAAAGAGAGATTCAGTTCTATTTATAGAAGTTATCAGTATTCTATGAATAAATCTTTTTTATATTCATATTTAATGTTTAGAATAATAAAAGTTAATAGAATTTATGTTTATGTAGGTAACATAAGTACATTACATACTCTTATCAAAATATTACATGATACTACTATGATATTTCATTCTTAAATTAAGGTTTCAAATGTTCTTTCAAACTTATTCGATATTTATTGAAAACAAATCTTTCATTTATTGTTATCAATAGATTAAATTTTTTAGAAATTTATTATTTTTGCTTCTGGCTTATAAAAATAAAGTGTTCTTTTGATTATTATTTTGAATTTTATCAGTCTTTTAGTCATAATCAAAATGTTAAAATTTGCCCTATTTAGTTTTTGTTGTTATCTTTTATTTTAAGATTTTAATATTACCTACACAATTACTTAAATTATATAACATATAATTTAGCAATCTCATGATAACTTTGTTTTATGCTTGAAGAGTGTGTTTTAATTTCCCTTGTCTTTGTTCGAAATTGAAATAAACTCAATATCTTAATCAAAATATACTAATTTGAGTAGAAAACAACACTTGCTTTATGTTGTCTCTTCTTATATATCAAGTAACTCAAATGCATAATTATTAAATATCTTTTTCCTTAATTCTTGAATATTCACTGTGCTCTCTACATATTACTCTAATTTATTGGATTCTAAAAATCTGCTAACTTTTCAAATATTTCACCTTTCAATTTCTCTAATTTACCTAAATTAATGCTCTGACCCTGCCAAAAGGTATTTAATATATATATTACTAAAATATAAATTCTGCCCTTTCACAGTTTTACTTTTACCATTAATTTCAATGTTTTTTCTAGAATAAAAATAATTCTGAATGACTGAATAGGAATTATTTAGAATACAATCCACTAAAGTTTAAATTATTTATCATCGTAGCATTAATCTTGAGATAATTGATAATCATATCTATTTTTATACATATTTATTAAATAAACTTTGATTAATATTAATGAGCAAACCTGGATTAGGTCTAAACTCATTTCATTTGGTTTTCATTGAAAAATCATATGGTGACATCGACGAAGGGCAGCGAATCTATTCTGATAAAACTATGAGATTTGATGAAGAAATCATGATCTGCTTTTTCCATCAGAAAGAAAAGGTCACCTAAATTGTAGACAATAAAAAGAAAACTATAAAGCAATGCTTGAAATGAGGAATCTCCAAATCATGACTTTATAATATTCTTTATATTCTGTTCTTACTTACGTACTTTAATTAACAAATCAAAAGCAGTTTATACTTTAAACCAAATCATAATGAGAAAATCTTTAATTACTACTCATACAACTTTTATAAACATTGTCAATCCTCTGTTCCTCAACTTTTCAAACAAATTTCACAACTCCATCCAAAACTCATTTATTAACTTATTGTTCACTGTAGATAATCGCTATAAATAAACTGTCTCATTGTTATATCATACGTCATCGCTTAAGAGTATCCAGCTGAAATAATTAGTTTTTCTTCTCAAAGTAAAAATCTACATAAGTACTCCCAAGTTTATTCTTGAGAAATTTCATCAAACGACTGATTTCTTAAGCAAATTCAAATTTGGAATAAAATATCCTTCTGCTTTGAGATTTTAACTTATGAAAATTTATTTAGACTATTCTTATTATAAATGATTTAATTCTCCAAAATATACAAAAAATCCTAAATATTCAAAATTTTTATTAATTCTCTTTATTTTTCATATCCATCTTAATATAATTTTTAATAAATTCGGAAAAAAGAGAACTAAGATAAACTATACATAGAAAAAGTTGTCGTTATTCCTTTATGAATTATTAGAGGATTGTTTCAATAATCTAAAGGTATTGAATACTAATAAATCCATAATTTGTAGATATTCATTTTAATAGAGTATACTAAAATCTGTTATTATTAATACCTACAGTGTGATTTGAGACTTAGATATTAGAAAGAAGCAATGATGAGTATTTATCAGATTTTATCATTGATGATTTCTTCTAGATATAACTTCACCAAATTTAAAATAATTGGAACTCTTTAAACAGACTCACACAAATAATATTCTTCTTATTAAAAGCAATTACTCCACCTTGCATTTAATACTATCAATCCATCATAAGATAATATTTGTTATTATGCATAGCCAATTTTGAATTGTAACAATAATATATATATTGTGGAACTACTAATCATAATATCTAGTTATGTTAAGCCTTATATACTGTAATTAACAATTTCAACATAAACTATTTCTGGAAGGATGCTTCTAATATTTGAGTTTGCTTTTGAAATCCTTTTAAAATGAAATGCTTGGAGACATCTACCTTTTCCAAATCAGTTTAATAAATTAATATAATATCATTTAGAAAAGGATTATCTGAAGAATTTTAACTTTTTAGTATTTAATTCAAAGCAGGTTTTATATTGAAAGCGCTTAAATATTCCATCCATATATTAGTCCTTTTCAAACACTTAGATCATTTTTTTAGATATTTATGTAACAATTTGTTTTCAATATTAGATCTATCTTTTATAATACTTTTGAGTTTACATGTTATCTGATAACATATTGTTTTTAATCAACTATTAAAATGAAGCTAACTTTAATAGAAAGTAAATATAATCTTGTTAAACTTATGTTTTAATTGATAAATTAGAATCTCCAGAATTTGATACTAAAATAAATAAGTAGTTCTTGTATTAAACTTACTCAAGCTTTGAAATTTTGTATTTTAATTTGATTTACTTTATATATAATTAAACTTACTTATATTTTCGAATGTTAATAAATTACTAAAATTCTATGTCATTAAGAAGCTAATCTAGAAAGATGTGGCTTTAGATTTATATTTACTCCAAGATTTTCAAACTTTACTATTTCAATTTATAGGATTGTAATATCCACCCTAATTGAAGTAGCATATTATTTTTGTACAGGGACACAATTACAGTAATGCTCCCAGAATATTTGAGAGACAGATACTAAGTTCATCATAAAATGCCACTTCTTAAGATTGTTGGAACTTCACAAAATTGGGTTTGAGAGCGAAGGTTTATTGGATTGTGCCCAAGAGTTGGTATTCTTCTGAAATGGAGGGTTACAAAAAGGTGCTCTACATTAATTTAAAATGTGAATGAGTTTGTTTAAGTAAGAGAGACTAAAAAGATTTAAATAAATTTAGTTTTTTTTGAAGTGGTGTATAAAAAACATTAAGATGTTGAAATTTAAATATTAAAGTTGAATACTATTGTTTTTGGTTTGATATATTAAATTTATGTGATTTGAATGATATAAAATATTATAATAAAATGAATAACTAATCTGTGAATATGCATTACAATGACCAGATAAAGATGAAGGCGTCAGAAGTATTTCAGAGTCACTATATTAATACCCAAACATCGAAATAGGAATAAACTATTGTAATTTGCTTAATTGTTTTTGGCAATATAATTTGGAACGTGATTGCTAATTTTTAAAACACTGAGTTAAGTCGTTATCGCTTGGAATTAACGATTAAAGTTATTGAGACTCTTTGGATTGTATTTCACTACCTGAAGAAAAAGTAAGCATTTGTAAGAATAATAGAACTACCTAGACTCCAGAGTCCTTTTTGAATTTAGGTTTAACAATTTTATTGATAAATGGCCTAATTACAATATTCACCATAGAGGAGTAAAATCTATTATATGCTTTTTAGTGTACTCAGAAGATCGGAGTAGGTATTGGACCAATTTACTTTTTTCATATTAATCCACCAATATATCTACAATAGGTTTTCCTTGAAATTGCACCAGACTCATCAGGTAATCGGAATCAGTAGTGTTTTGGTGTTTTAGAGTTTTTGGGGAAACCACCTTTTTAGCACAATCAAAATGATAACAGTGTAAGGAGTTTTCATTTTATCAAAATAATTGCGATAACAAAGACTGATGAATGAGACTCAAAACAAGATCAAGCAATTCAATGAAGAGTTGGATTAATTGAAGTAGTAGTAATAATAATAGATTAATAAATATCAAGAAGAAATAGATTCGAAATCACAGATGCAATTGCAATCTAGGGCTAATGACCTAGTGAATAAATTGAAACTAATCAAATTTAAGCAGTAATGCGAAATCAAGAATCAGATGTTAAAGAATGTTGGTCAATAACAAGAAAAGTTATAATCGATGGTTTCAATAACAGAAGTAATGGGAAGGGATGAAATCGATGAAGCCACAAATCAACAAAATTACTCATCATCGCCTAAAATGGAGAACTTCAAGAGGAGAGCAAGCAGAACTCTATCTCAAAATTCGGATTTAAAAGGAAAAAACTTTCAGTTTGATCAATAGCAATCTCACTCGGATTAAGATATCGTGAAGGGTGACAATTATATCACAATTGATGAAATCGACGATCTACTGAATTTGTTGACTGGTAAGAAGGACAATATATGGTTGCCAAAGTTCTTGAGAAGTCATCGCTAATTGGATTGTTTAAATAGTAACAACAGCATTTAACAAGCATCCAAAGAGGATCAATTTAGTTAAGATGCCAAGAAGTAAGATTATATTCATAAATCTAGATTCATACTTTCCCATTTCACTTAAAAAGAAGCTTCCTTCTAATATATTGATGACATTTAGGATGATGTGGATGACATAGCTGAGAAAACTCTAATTGATTTCAACATCAATTTCCTATAACAAGATTTCACATTAAACAACTTAGACTTATCATAGAGGATGATTTTTATAGAAGGTTCTATAAATTTGTTTAAAATATTCAAGGTCATCTAAACTTTGAAGATTACTAATCTGGAAACACTTGGAGAATTTAGTGTCAAAATAGAATCTCTATATCAGAATAATTTCTATCATAATTCAATGCATGCCATAGATGTCGCAAATTCAACAGCATTTTTCTTACAAAATGGATTGTCAACTTTAATCGATGATTTCTAAGCTACTTGCTTATTGATTTCGTCATTGGCACATGACATCGGACATCCAGGATTAAATAATGGGTTTATGACTGCAAATAGATGTCGATTAGCCTTATTATTTAATGACCAAAGTGTTTTGGAGAATTATCACTCATTTCTTTTGTTCTAGGTTCTCACTCAAAGCAATTGCAATATCATTGAAAACCTAAGCATCAATGAAATCAAGGGATTCAGAAAGTACTGTTTGAATCTTATTCTTGATACTGATCTAACCAGACACTTTCAATTGATGAACAAATTCTAAAATTATTTGAATGTCAATGAATCTCCTGCTGTTGATTAGCAATTAATTATGTCGATTGGAATTAAATGTGCAGGTATTATAGTTATTATTGTTCTATTCAGATGTTGGACATGGGGCAAAAGAATTGAAATTGCACAAATTGTGGAGTCGTAGAATTGTTGAGGAGTTCTTTTTGTAAGGGGATTTAGAGAACTATTTGAAAGTACCCATCTCACCAATGTGTGATAGAAATCAGAATGTTTCCAAATCCCAGGAGGGCTTTTTGAAAGCCATAGTGTTGCCGATGTTTGAGGCCTTTTCAACAATCCTAAAGAAGTAATTGCTCATTTGATTAGTAGTGAAAACATCTAAAAAACTTGTGTTGATTAGGTAAAATAAAACATAGAATACTGGTAATAGCAGGAGACTGATTAGAAGTTTATGGAAGAAACTGTATTTGACACTAATTCAGGATTGGAAACTCTTCAGAAGTTCCTACATGAGCCACTTCATATTGAGATTTGATTTTTATGTAATAGATAATTGATCGTTGATGTGATTTAGAAAAAAACTAATATAAGAATAATTGTCAAATTTTCTTTAGTATTATTTGGATGAACTCTGCTTCCGAGATTTTACCATCTTTGTCATCATCGCATTCTTCTAAGAACTCTCCCCATATGACATCATCCACTCCTTCCATGGCTCTCTAGAACTCCCCTTTGGATATGTAATTATCGCCATTCTAAGGAAATATAGATAGCAAATACAATATCCAATATTTTAAATGTTTATTTGATCTTCTCTTCAGTGATCAAACGTTGTTGTTGTAGACTTGCAATGATGAATTCAGTGTAATCAATTTTGCCAGATTGATTGATATCTATTTGTTGAATGAGATTCTCGATCTTTTCTTCGATGGATTCAACAAAGTAATCTTTATTCATGATTTTATCTTAAAAAGCTTTTTTTAGTTCATCTTTAGAAACTGTTCCATCACAATTAGTATCTAATTCTTTGAATAATTTTTGTAAGTCCTCCACTTCATGTTATTAAATCATTTGACAGGCCATGAAAGTTAGAAGAGCCTATTTTAGTTTACTTTTGGCACTGAATTCTGAGAGATTCTTAAGGAACTGCTGATCAACCAGATTGCTCTAATTATGCTCTATCATCCAAGGATCAGCCAAGACATCCTTTGCACTTATTCTTTACTCTGCATCTTTGCACAGCATTTTCAAGATCAATGACTTTGCTTACTCGCTAACCTTGGACCATTCCTCAGCTAAAATGTTTAATACAAAATAGGAATTACTGTAGAATGGAACATTAGCCTTGACTATCTTTTGGTAGATGTCGATATCCTTCTTGCCGTAGAAGGGAGGATAGCCAGCCAATAAGATGTAGAGAATAACACCACAGGACCAGACATCGCATTTTTCGTTGTATTTTTTGAGGAGTACTTCAGGAGCTATGTAGTAGGGCTAGAGGAGATTAATATAGGGATGATAACTTACAGTGCCAAGTCTTTTGGTCATTTTTTTGTCGCTTTCAAATCTTCTGGAAGTTCCAAAATCTATGATCTTTAATTGGGCATCATCATCAGTGGAAGTAAAAATGATGTTTTCGGGTTTGAGATCTCTGTGTACAATTTATTTGGTGTGACAATAAGCAACAGCAGATAATATTTGTTTCATAATGTTGGCTGCATCTCTTTCGCTGAATGTTTTGGCTTTTTGAATTCGATCGAATAACTCGCCTCCATTTAGATATCTAATGTTGAGAGGATACTGAGTACTCAGTGATGAGGTAGTAGCACTTTTCGTCTTGGAACAACTCACAGAGTTTGACGATGTTGGGGTGATCGAGGTCCTTCAATATGTTCATCTCTTAAAATAGTCTTTATTCTTCCTCTTCGAAGAGACAATCCTTTTTGATGGCCTTCATGGCTCTAACAATACCTAGGATGATAGAGTGGAATTGCATACCAGTTCTTTTGTTAGTCACCAGAGAGACCTAACCATAGGCACCTAGGGAAAATCTAACTTAATATTACCTTCACCCAGAGCCTTGCCTATTGAGTATTGGCTGAAGATATCCTCTCGCTTCATGTGGATGAAGAGGTCGGGACTGAGTTTCAGATAGGTAGACTTCTCTAAGGTTAAGATGGATAAAGAGATCATACTTGTCGCTTGAGTGCTCAGTTGCTTGTCATTGTTATTGAGCTCTTTGGGTCTAATTTCAATCTCTGGGGTGTTGGCTTGAAATAAACACTCAATCATACTTATCACTTCTTGGGAGCAACAAGTATTTCCCATTTAAATTGTAAATGATTAAATAAAAATATTACTTTAATTGGAACTCGGCCAATTCAAAATAACAATGGCACCATCAGGGGGGGGAGAGACACACACAAATTTTGAGGATGAGGATTATATGTTATATTAAAATCAGATTATAAAACAATTTAAAAAATTGATGAAAATAGACATAACTATTCTCCTGATTCTCGTATCAATAACAGTAAATATTAAATTAAGAGTGGTAGATTGAGGAACTGTAGGAGATCAAGACAGGTTGTTAGACAGTACAGAATCCATGCTTGAAAAAATGTGAAGAGGGCTATCAACTGTGTGAAGATCGGAATAATAGAAGATGTGAGTACGGCTATTTTAAATTAAATATAGAGGATGAGAACTACTGTGTGAGATGGTATTGAATTTGATTTTTAAATAAAAAGTCCATTTTCATATGTGGACGAAATGATGTACTTATGTATGGATTGTCCAGAGAATTCAGACACCTGGTAAAATTCCAGATCATGCACATATAATTATGCCATCACACATGGAGATGTATTTGGGGCATTTAGAAAGATCGCAATTACTGAAACTTAAATTTTCAAAATACGCCAAGTACCATCCAAAACAGAAGGAGGGAGCAATACCTATTCAACTGAATTATGCTAGGGGTGTTAAGCATTTTGTGATTAGTCTGATGCTGCAGATGAAGAACTAGAATGCAATATCCTGTCAGATCAGGATGATGTTATATATATTGGAGTAATATGTTCCGATGGCTATTACTTTGACAACGACACCTGTATGATTTGTCCTTTTTATAATTGCAAAACTTGTGATAGTCAGGAATGCTCTGAATGTTTTGATGGATATACAATGGATCCCACTCAAAAATGTATCCCTTGTTTTGAAGGTTGTGCAAAATGCGAATATTAAAATGGAATTCTGTGTTTAGAGTGCATTCAAACGAAGGATACTTATCAGATTATGATGTAGAATGGAGCAATCTGCTCCTCTTGTGATGATGGATGCATAAGATGTTAAGTTGAGTATGTGGATGGAGTAGAATAACAACGATGCACTCAATGTTAAGCTGATTATATTGTACAAAATGAAGGGTCGAGGTGTGAATACAAAGAGATCTTCGATTGCGAAATAGCTTACTTTGAATATTCTAAAGATGGAGTGAATAAATTGTAGACATATAATTTAGACTTTGAAATTGTTAGAGACTACTCAGCCAAATTAAAATGTTATAAATGTCAAGAGGGCTATAAACTAACAGGTGGAGAGGATTGCAGTCCATATACTGACACCGATCCCTTCTGTAGCACTCGTGATTAAGATAAAAATCTATGTTTAGAATGCTAAGATAACAAGGTACTTAAATATGACAATGGAGGCACTTTATCTAGTTCTTGTGTGCCAGACTAAGATTGCAGTAAGAAAATTGACTATTGTGTGCAATGCATCTCATACATGGTTGATTCGGTTGAGTTGTATCAATGTCTAAAATGTCAAAAAGGGTATTATCCTGATATCTTCTCCAATCTATGTTTACAATGCCAATCCAGATGTGATGAATGTTGGCAATATACTAATACTTATAACATCACCGCCTATCTACAATTGCAACTAGCTGGAATAGATTATGAATAATTTAAATAAGACTTAGTACTCATTCAAATGGAAAAACTCAATGATCCCTTTTGTTCGATTTGCCAAGTTGGATTCAATTTATACAACAATCAATGCAAAGGTTGTACTGATAGCTGTGTTCCTTAAAGAATTTAAGATGGAGACTCAGAATGCTTGTACATAGATGATACTGCTTATTGTGCCAAGTGTCCTGTCCCCTCATTATAATAATCATTGACTTTTGACAATAGTGAATGCAATTAGTGTCCTTATAATTGCATTGCTTGCAGAGAAAGGACAGAGCAGGAAATCAATTTAGTCAATCCTTTTTTTGATCCAGACTCAGATCAATTTCTAAAATACAGTAATTATTGCTACAAAACAACTTAGCCACAAGCTGATCAAAAGATATACATTGACTCGTTCTTAGGAGTTCCCATTACTTGTGCTAATAATCCAAACTACAAAGGATGTTATAAAAAACTAGATACTACTTTCAATGTCTATTGTGGAGATACTAATGATGTCCCAAAAGCAAATGAAATCAAATTGAAAGATGTATATAAAAAATAGAAAACTAAGACTGTCACTTTATTTCTCTAAGGATTAGAGAATGCCTATAAGTATAATGAATACAATTAGCAAACTGTCAACTAAATTGATATCCATATTAATTTCATTTCTGATAATCATGGCACTTGTAACTTTGATAAACCCATTTAGATCAAATCAAGTTTTTAAAAGAACATTTTTACTTTACAACAACTATCAGTAATAATCAATGGCTAGCATTCGATCTTTAAACAAGCTGGAAGACTAATTCTTAAAGATTATTCTTATGTAGAAATTAAAAATGTCAATTTCAAAGAAAAAGCATCTAGTGAATTTGGATTAGAGATTTTAGGTAAGAAGACGAAGTTAACTATTACAAACTGTAAAATTGTTAAGGATAATCTTGCAAGCTCATTTAATATAGTGTTATAAAATACTATATACCTCAAACTATAGTAAGTTGAATTTGAAAATCTTAAAAATGAAACGATCATCGATTAAACATCAACTGATGAATTTGAAGAATAAGGGCAGTATATATTTGAGGATGTTCATATAAAAAATAGTGAAATAAATGATGTTCTTATGACGGTTAATTACATAGGAGCTGATAATATTTTATTAATCAATTCACTAAAGTTCTCGAATTCTAACATTACTGATACAGCTGTCTTTTCAGATTTAATAACAACTCCAAGTTATAGTGCTATTATAAATGATCTTAAACTGATCAAATGTACAATTACAAATGCAAGCATCTTTAATTTTGCCTTAGTCAAATCATTCCAAGCAGAAAACATAGAAAGTGTATTGACTTTATTCCAAAAAAGGTCTAATTTCATAATAAGCACTACTTTCACAATTGAAAAACTGTTTTGCTATCGCTCTTTATTTGCTAATAACTCCTAACTCATGATTTCAAATAATCAAATTTATAACTCTGATCAGAAATCTAGCATTCTATAATTCTCCTTCAAATCAATCATGTTTAAAAACAACATATGTCAAAATATCAACTGTTTGATGTTCATTGCCACTCCTCTAAATAATTTTGGTATACGTTCCAACATTGAAATTGAATAATTGACTATCTCAGAATTGCAAATCCAATCCATAAGTTAAATGAATATAGACCTCGTTACATCAGCCTTGGTCAATCTATAAAGTGTTGGCGATATCACTATTAATGAATTGACAATTAAAAATGCTCAAGGCATTTCTATTATTTTTATTGGTGATTCATAATCAGTTGAGATTACGAATGCATACTATTTCCTGGAAATGTCGAATGAGATTCTCTATGAATATGAAGAAGAATTAACAGAGAATTTTGAGATCGACCCTAATCTAGCAAATTATATTATGGTAACCAGTCCATACAATAATCTATTGCCGAATTCTCCTGATTGTGCTAATAGGAAACGAACTGCACATTAGTTCAATTCTTATCTCATTTACATTGAAGGATTTCAAGGATCCATTGTTATGGATAACATTGAAGTCTTCAATTTACTATTCATGGATAGATCTGCTATATTTATTAAATCTTATGAAAACTTATTATATATGTAGATGGAAACCATTTTACTTTAGAATTTGAAATTCGATAGCAACAGACTTGCATCGACATTAGATGGGGAAATGATGAGTTTGATCATAATTGATTCATAATAAAATCAAAACATCACCATACTCAATGCCTAGTATAATCAGAATCATTTACACCAAATAACCGATTCATAAACAACCCAAACCCCAGCACTTTTATTAGTGATCTCTCCGAACTCTATCTTAAATTTATTGGATTCATATTTCAATTACAATCGTATCACAAAATCAACTAATGGTTTGATGTGGATAAAAGTAGAATAATTTATTCTGTACAATTGTTAGTTTTAAAAGACCAATATTTTGGATCTGTAATGGTTGGACTATCTTGAAGAGCAGTAATTGACAGCTAGTGACCCTGTTACAACTATTCTCGATCTAAGTAAAATGAGTATTTTTTAATTTTAGAATAATATTTTTACATCGAATCTATGGGATCTAACTTCTATTTGATATCCACATTCATCTATATTGAGAACTTGTAAATTACTGAATCCTATGGTTAATCTGGTGCTGGAATCTTCCTGGAATTGTTAGATGGAATTGTCTTCATAATGCACTCGTAGTTTTAGAATATCTAAAGCAGTCTACAAAAAATTGATGATACAGAAGGAGGATGTTTAACAATAAATTCAGAAAGTTCTCAGATGTAATTGGAATTAAATTCTGTTTTCATGACCAATTGCACTGCAAGAATCAGAGGAGGTTGTATTCATTTGTACCCAACCAAATTCAAACAAAGCATTTTATTCCAAGACTCCCAATTCTCACTTTGCCAATCTTTGGGATATTCATTTTTAAGTAATCCCTACTTAGAATCCACTGATCAACCAGTAATTGAGTTCTTGAACATTTATGTAGGTGATAACAATTACGATAACTTTATTCAAAATATACCTGATCTTACCTTATTAGAGTAATTGCTATTGACTAAGGATTCTGGAATCTATTATCAACACACAGGATAATTAATAATTCGAAATTCAATCTTTACTAAATTGAAATACTTAAGTATCATAAAGGCAGTTGGAATGACTGAGATATCCATATCTCAATGTGTATTCACCAAAAACATTCTCTTTTTGATGCCTCTCTTGGATCTCTAAATGACTCCAACTGTCTCGAATTCAATATAAGTAGTCGCGTCAGAATTTGTTGACAATTGGTCTACAGATATCAATCCAATTGTAAATAATTGTGATGAATTTATTAGAGAAGGCCTGGATTAAACCTTAACTCAATAAACTTGTGATTAAATTATGTACATCATTGACTTTTAGAATTTTATGAATTAAGATCAAATAGCTTGGAATAGTGATCAATATTTGGATAGTTATTAGTATCTAAATGAGTAAGATAAGTATGAGTCTGTGTATTCATATAATTTTTATTATGCTTAAAGCATCCAAGTTGTTCAAAGATTCAATTCAACCCTCAATGACAAGTTAATCAATTGTATCCTCTAGAATATGTTAAAGTATATCATAATATCTATTTAGCTTGACTTTGGAAGCGGATTCAGTGATACCTACGTCTCTTATTACTATAAAAAGCTTGTTTAGCAATTCCAAGTTGAAATTCGATGAAATCAGTATTATCTAAAATAGATGTGTAAGATGCTATGGAGGCTTACTTCAAATATTGGGAGTAAATGCTGGCAGCAAATTGGTTCTGAATCATATAAATTGCAAAGACAACACAATAGGTTATTATGGATGCCTATTAATTTAATAATAATAGAGTATAAACCAATTCGTACCAAACCAAAATTTGATGGATTTGAATGTTACCTAATTTCCTAACAGGATGTTGCAATTAGGGAAAGACTGCACTGTCTCGATAACTTAATCAATTTTTTCATCAAATAGAGCCAGGATTGGGAGTGCCATTAGTATATTAGGCTTGGATGCATTAGTCTAGAATAGTATCTTCTCGGATAATAGGGCAAGCCTTGCTGGAGCAGGTGTTTATTATATGAACATTGGTGGAGATTTCGAAACTTCATTATATGTCTACAATTTATCATTCCAAAGCAACAAAGCATAAGTCGGAGCTGCATTCTACCTAGTTAATAAGGAATTAGCAGATGTAAAATCCTTGCTAATTAAATTTGAGTACAACTACGCAACAATACAGGCAAACAATATACAAGAGAATTCAAGAAGATAAACTCTGTCAATGAATGAGGGTTCCTATTATTAGGTGCAGGTCTACTTGAATCTAAGTGGAGATTAGAATCTTGATGGAAATGTCGACAGTGTGGATTAGATAATAAGGGAAAATGTTACTTTCGATTATCATACCATTGGCAACTACCCTGAAAAGACTAATCTACTAATCTTACCTTCAGGGTAGTCTATTAACACATATGAATACTATTTCGAAGAAACACGAGAATACATTCCATATGAATGGATATTTAGAGTGATTAATTTGAATAGATTTAATGAGCCTGTAGTTAACAATGAAGATGGAGATAAGTGCTTTATTTTTGGTAGAATATAAAAATTCTCGAATTATTCTGAAAAGTTAACTTTTACTAATAACTACACAATCCCCAATGAAATGCTCTATAGCAAGAATTTAAAAGGCTATAGCTTAGACGATATGCAATTAACCTTTGATCCTTATTTTGATAAAGACTTTTATTTGGAATTGCAAAGTAACACTCAATCTTAAATTAGTTAAATGTCAAAAGATGGCTATTCCAGTATATTCTAATCCTCCAGATTATAATATAGTAGGATATAATAAGGGCTATGAATTAATATTAAATGTTAGAACATTTCCCTGTTAAATGGGAGAAGTCTACTAACTTGGTCGTTGCATCCCATGCAGTCCAAAATTAAACTAATATTCTGTAACCATAGGAGGTGTGCTATGCTCATAGTTTAATTCTGATTCTATGGTTGCCATAGAAAAATCACAAATTCAATTGAAGGCAGGATATTGGAGACCTGATTATAATAATGATGAAACCTTTTATTGTGAAAACTTGGATTCTAATTGCAATGGAGGGTGGGTTCCTGGTAATCCTTCTTGTTATACTGGACATATAGGAGCATTGTGCGAATCGTGTGACCTATATCAAATATACAATGACGAAAGATATACTTAGACTTCACCCTATAAATGCGCTAGATGTGAGCCAACTATGAAAATAAACTATATAGTTCTAGTGGCAACATCAATTACATCCTTTGCCTTAATGATTATAGCAGTAAAAGGCAGCTATGAATCATCAATGTAATTCATTATTGAAGAAACTCTGGATATATGGGGGATATTGTTAAAAAGCTCTTTGAGTAATCTAGATGTTTTGATGAAAGTCCTTACAAATTACTTTTAAATAATCTAGTTCATTACTACATTTTAGATCTCCATTCCTAGTGCAATCAAATAAACAACTGAGACTGGAGGCAACCCTACTGAAAGTACTACCTCAGCTATGGATTGTCTCTATGTAACGATGTCAGATTTAGATGTATTATACTTTCGAATGGTTTGGGCATTCATCTAGCCATCAATATATTTGATTAGTTTTTATATTATCTATTTCGTTGGAGTTGCTACCAAAAAGATACCTTACAAAGTGAACATTATTACTACAGCCTTAATTTATTAGTTCCTCTATTTATAGCCCACATATGTTGAGGGATTCATGGTCTTAGCATCCTTCAGAACCGTAAGTGGTTATCAATATGTACAGAGAGATGTTGCATATAGATATAACAGTTCCATGCATTAGTACTACCTCTCAAGATTTATCATACCCATGCTAATAGTTTGGGTCATGTTCTTACCTTTACTATTCTTGTTTTTGGTCTACAAGAATCGAGCCACTATCCAAACCAAGTAAACAAAATTAATTTATGGATTCTTCTATCTAGAATACTAATTAAACAGTTATCTTTGGGAATTTGTTAAATTATTCCAAAAGGAATTCATGGTCATCATTTTAGCATATTACGAAAGTCAAGTTACTGTTAAGGGATTGTTATTAGTTGTGGTAATGTTTCTCTATGGATTCTACTAAATTTAAATATCACCTTATAGTAATAAGAGACTAAATATGTTGGACAGGTATTCAACTGTCATTTTGTCAATTTCACTAGCTATGGGGGTTCTAATGAAATCATGCTAAGATTCAGAATTTGACTATTTAGTTATTATAGTGGCTATTTTCATAATCTTAATCAATGTTCTATTCTTATTGTCGATTATTTATTACATTTTTGAAGGGTATGTTATTAAATTGTCCCCCATCCTCGATAAAATAAGGGATGTACTTAATGAGAAATACCCAGATTTAGGAAAAAGGTATCCACATCTAAGGCCCTACTTATATAATAAAGCTTAAATGACCATCAGAGTGAAGGCATTATGGGCCACCTTACGAGAAGCTGTTAAAGACACCAATGAAATTTGTAAAGAACATGGTGTTAAGTTTAAAAAGATTTTCCCTCCTTATGCAAAAGAAGAGGAAAATCTGGTCAGTTTTGAGAATATCTCCATTGAAATTAAATCAAACTAAGTTGAAGATAAATAACCTTTAATAGTTTAAGATTCCTCCTTTGTTCAAAACCATTAAGATAATTCACAAAATTTAGATAATTCACAAAATTAACCATCAAGTGCAATAAGACTCTAATTTATCAATAGTAAGGGAGTAGTATAGCAAAGTTAATTTTTCACTTCATCATTTATGATCAACGAGTCCTAAGAACCTATAGCCATGACAGGTTTATGCATAGAACAATGGATTGATTAGACTTAGTATGAAGGATTAATTGTTAATGGTAAAAAGTAAGGGAAGGGACTCTTAATTTGGCCATTCTAAGAAAATTAAAAGTAATAAGAATAATATGAAGGTGAATTCTATGATAACCTTTTCGAAGGATACGGCGTATATAAATGGAGTGATGGAAAGGTGTATGAAGGAGGATGGAAAGAAGGGAAAAGGCATGGATACGGAAAATATTAAGGATTAAGCTAATAGTATGAAGGGGAGTTCTAAAATGATTTATATTAAGGATAAGGAATTTTGAGCATAGGAAATAAGATAATTACGGGATCTTTTACTAAGGGTAAAATGGATGGAGAGATGCAAATTGTTATAGGAAGAAAAAAGAAAAGGAGAGGAATTTGGAAGGAAGGAGTGTTTGTGAAATGGGTTGATTGAGATTATTTAGATTGAATAAAATATAAACTAAACAACTTAAATTTTATAAATTATTTATAATGAATCTTAAAAATGTCCTCTGTCAGTCGAATCAAGTAAAATACGAAAGAACTTCAATAGCACTTTATCAATTTATAATTTTATAGTTAATTAAAACGATCACTTTCAGATAGAAATAGTAATCATTTTTCAAATTTAAAGCATTTAATAGTATAGCATATGTGAATGAAGACAATGATATTATAAATATATCTATAATCTAATAATAATATGATGTATATAGATTTAACTTAATTATGGCATCATAAGGCTTTATCAAGGTTTCTTAATCTGGCTTCCAAATCATCAAGAGCTTATGTATTTGGGTTAACTATATTTGATTGCTATTGGCCAGGAGTTTGTTATGGTTGAATTGCTGGTTAAACCTATGGCTATTAAGGTATAGAAGGATTTTAATATTATTAAGGAACTTTCATACTTTAACTTGCCATTATTTAAGGACCTTAAGATTTAAAATAATTTTATACCTTAATTCAAACATGAATAAGGATTTGGAGACCCATTTATTTAACCGTATCCTCCAGTCGTTCCAAACCCTCCAGTAGGAGGATTACCAAATTAATTATTTGGTTAATTATACAAACCATTTTAAGGAGGTTAATTTCCAAACCCACCTTAAGTACCTTATCCAAAACCTCCTTAGGAATTGCCAAAGTCTCCTTGTGTTCCAAAACCTTATGGTTGCGATTATCCAAATCCTCCTGGTTATGACTAACCAAATCCTCCTTAGGGTGGATTTCCGAAGCCACCTTGAGATGGGTTTCCAAAACCTCCAATAGGTGGTTGACCAAATCCTGCTTATGGTGGATTTCCAAAGCCTCCTTAGGGTGGTTAACCAAAGCCTGGTTAAGGTGGATTTCCAAAACCTCCAACAGGGGGTTGACCAAAACCTCCTACAGGCGGTTGACCAAAACCTGGTTGAGGTGGATTTCCAAATCCTCCCAAGGGTGGTTGACCGAATCCTCCTACAGGTGGTTAGCCAAATCCTGGTTAAGGTGGATTTCCAAAACCGCCAATAGGTGGTTGACCAAATCCTCCTTGTGTTCCAAAATCACCAAATCCTTAGTTTGGATTTGGCATAAATTATTATTATCCAAAACCTTATTAATCTACCAAGATGCCTCCTTAAGCAGGTCTTAAAATTTTAGAGCTAAATTAATGTCCTGAAGCATTTAATTGTTCTTCACTGAATCCATATTTTTCTGCGAATTTCAATGCATATTCATTGACTTCATATGCATCAGGCAGAGGTGTTTTAAATAGTTTCCTTAATTCTTGATCGACATTAATCAATTTACTAGTATCATTGAAGCCAGGTCCAAAATAGTATATCATTAGATCTTTAAATTCCATTACTTATTCTAAGTTCAAATTATCTGCCGCAAAGAGGATACTCTCGATATATGGCATAAGATCTGCAATTTTAGAATGATCTCCTCCACATCTGAAGATTCTTATTGATTGATCTTTAACGATTTCACAATATCTAAGTTATATAGAGATTAGTATACCTTAGTACTATGTGACATGTCTCTAAGAATCGAACATCTTGAACTAGCTGTTGGAATTTCTGATACTCTTCAACCATCACTCTAGATGGACTACGCAACATTTCATTTAAAGCTTTCTCTCTCATTAATGCTTAATTAGTTCGTCTGTCTCTATTCAATTCCACATAGCCTTTAACCTAAAATTAAAGAGAAAATCGTACTTTCAAGCAGGCAATCTCAATTTGAAACTAAGTTATCTATTTAGTTTGGGGTGCTTTTGGTTATTAAGTTCCCATGAATATGGATTTATTTTGTTTAATATATTAATATTATCATTTAAGCGTTCAATATTTTAATTAAAACATTATGTTTCCATATTTATTTTAAAATGTATAACAGTATATAAGATGTAGAAAGTTCCATACTGAAAAAGAAAAATAATATTTGCCTCAAATTTTAACTACTAAAAAGAAGTCCTATAAAACTTGAATCAAACTGGAAACCATAACACCAAAGGGTTGAAATCAAATATTCTTATTAGAATTATTGAAATATAGAATCCTTATTTTCCTTAAATAGAATCCATTTTTGATAATTGTGGAAAATAAATCTCTATTTATACATTTTTTTTATATATGTATTTTAATTCAAATGATATTTTAAACAATACCCTATAATTTTCTAGATTTAGTGCAATACTAAATTAATGAATAGATATTTGATATAAAATCAAAATAAGATACAAATTAGTTAAGGCTTGTAGACTAATGAAAGAGGTTAGATGATTGTTAAATTCCTTAGTTTCATGTTATATACTTCATTTTAATATGGATAACTGATTATTTATTAATATTTCAAAAAAAGAGGGAAGCTTAAATTTGGATGAGATTTGACTATGCATTTTGGTGCACATGATTTAAACTTGATTTTAATGTCATTTTATATTTAAAATATTTGTGATTCTATATCAGATTCCTTCTTCTAAATTTTAAAAAACAAACAATTACTTCAAATTAAGCCTAAGAATCTTAATAAATTTAAATGAAAATTAATTGATAAAAAGAAAAAAAAGGATGAAAATATTAAATGAAATATAAATTATGTATGATCCTGAAAATATAAATATTTTAAGAATACTACCCAAAACTTTTTGGATAAAATGAACTTAAAAAGATTTATTAATAAAGAAATTAATTTATTCAAAATTAAGATCTGCTCCAAAATTATGTGAGGATCAAAATAAGTTATATATATTATTCATTTGATATAAGCATGATTTTAGGATATTTATTGTAATAGAATTGAGATTAATCATTTAGAATGTCCTTCCTGTTTTAATTAACAAATACTAAGCTTTCAAAAAAGTATCACATAACAATCACAATACTTTAAAATGATTTGCAATTTTGTGTTAATTTAACAGACAGAAATTTAAGATATGACTAATAGTAATTCCAAAATCTCTATTAAAATAAATTATTTGGGGAAAGTGAAATTTATTGGAATAATAATTTAACATTATTCATATTTGAAACATGGTTCTCGAGGATATCATAAAACTTGAATTTGTGTTCAATCAAGAGACATAATTTTTTATCATTAAACGAGATAAAATTTCTAGAAACACTTTATGTATATTTTGAAATTTTTAATAATGTCTGAGATATTATATTACACCCACATCAACTCCCCAATAAGGTCAGATTAATTTCAGATGTCATATTCTTTCAACGCACAGTATGAATATCATTGTTAATTAAAATTTAAATTAATTTATTTATTATCTTACTACAAATGAAACAACCAGTCTCACTTTTCGCTTAAAATACTTTTTCAAGAAATATAAATTAAGAAGATGATCAAGAAATTCAGGACAGATCAGGTTTTGAAATTTTGAATATGGATGGTCAAAAGAGAAGGAGAGATAAACTATCTCCAGTGGCTCGATCGAATTCTGGGCATCATGAATAGTTGATTTTACAATACCATAATCCATAATAACTAATTACTCCTAAAAATGAGAACATTACTGAAAGACTTTAAACATTTGCTTAGACAGAGCAATTCAAATAATCAAAATCATTTCGAAAACTGATTGTGTATTTTCATCAAAAAGACTTTATAAAAATACTATTGGCTCCATACAAATTAACGACATCTTTTACTATAAGACATTTTAACTTAATTAATGATTTAGGAGCCTCCTTTAAATACTAAGTAGGTAGATTTAATGAAAGTTAGAAAAGCTTGATTCATTAATACATTTCACTTATTGACTTTAGAATCCAAATAAGATTAAAATTCAGAACCATAAAAACAAAGTGCAAACATTACTTACAACACATTCATAATTAAATTCCATTAATCGAGCCGATGAGTAATCTCAAATTTTTTTGGGATTTAATGTGCTTTGGCATCAGGATTTATTTAATTGTGGTAATCCCTATACTAATGGCGTTCCATAATTAAAACTTCATTGATAAACAATAAATTCCATTAATATTATTTTCTATTGCTTTAATTTTTGATATCATTATGAGGGCATTTACTGTAACCTATGATTAAGGATTACCTGTTAGAGATCGTTATTTATTATATAAAAAATAAGTAAACTTCTCAACATTATTGGAATTATTTAGTTTTATATACACAAGCATAATAAGTTTATAGTCAGACAATATTATCGATAAAAATTTAATTGGAGATGGTTGGCCGAAATTTATATTAGTTTTATTGTATATATAAGTGGCCAATATATTAAAGTTTATAGACATATCTTAATACTCTTTCAAACTCAGCAGAATGTCAACATCAATAGTAGAACTGGTTAAATTAATTACATTAATACTTTTGGTTTAACATGTATTTAGTTGTGTATGGCTTGTCTTTGGTATTTAATGTTAGGATACGTAATAATAGTCATGGTTAGACAAATTCGAGAGTGATTAATGGTCATATTAATTCCTTCAATCGTTCTATTTTATTTGTGTAACCACATTTACTGTAGGCTATGGTGATTTGACACCAAAAAGTAATAATAAAACAATAATTTAGATCCTCCTGAATAAATCTTCACCATCTTTTATATGTTTTTATGTATGTTGCTATTCTCATACACTGTAAATACTATTGGAAGCATACTCACATAAATAAAAGAAAGCAGCGATAAAATTAAAACTAAACTCACAGCCATAAATTAGTATATGCATAATAAACAGATTAGTCCGACATTATAATTTAAGTAATATCAATCAAATATGATAGAGTTCGAGAATAGTTGTATTTTTATCTTAAACAAGAGGTTGTTCAATAAGTCAATGAGCAATCAGAAATCATATCAATGCTTCCAGAAGAATTATAACACAGCCTTAGAATAGAGGCTGCCAAATCTTTAATAAATAAATGTCCATTTTTTAGTGAGAACTTTTCAAATGAAATAATGAATCAGCTCCTGGAAGAAGTCAATTTCTAAATATTTTAGCCAGGAGCCACAATTTAATCAAAAGATGAATTCTTCATTCATATCATTGAATAAGGATAAGTCGAAGTTTTGTATAAAAAAGTAATATTACTTTTGATTATCATTAGAAAATTATACAAACACTTGAAAGATTTGATTACTTCGGACTTGAAGAATTTGTCAGTTAATAGTAAAATCCAAATTTTATTTTCAAAAGCACTGCATTTACTAGTGTACTCTCAATTCCATACTCTTATTTTCATAAGATATTATCTCAAAATGATCTGGAAAACTAAAAATTTCACAATCTACTTACATCCTAATCTTGTCTCTCAAACTATTGTTTTATATGTAAAAACAAGAGACATTCAACATAGTCCTGTTCTTTGGTTCATTTTATACCAAATAAAGAGGTTGTCTTAAAAAGGTATCTTTACAGAAATAAATAAAAAAAAAGAATTAAGTAAGACAGAAGGAGTAGATAGTTATCAATAAATGAAATTAATTTAGTCAATGGATAAAATTAAATTAAACAAATTTAATTTAAAAATGCTTGCAATAATTAAAAAATGATTGAATCAATAGTAAACAAATTTTAAATTGAAAATTAAGTAGCTTTAGAAACTCTATTTCCTACAATTGAATAACCTATAAGTATAGATAGTTAAAGTGAATCTGAAAATGATGAATTTGAGGATGTTAAAGATTAGAGTTTTTCATAATAAAATTTGAATTCAAGAAGAGCCAGTAAACAAATTCCTTGTATTTCCTCAAAAAATTTACTCTAATATTAGATTTTAGATAAAATTAAGAAAGAAAGACAAAACAGATTGATCTAACCTTTACAACCTTAACTCTTAATGTCTCAATATGGATAAAATAATCCAAATCCTACTGCTAATACTAATGCTAATACTAACACCAAGTTACAACTAAAAAAACTACTATTGTCCAAACCTGGCCAACCTGATTATGATGAATAAGTAACCTAAATTCAAGAATTAAACTTTTTTAATGATTTAAGACAGAAAATGAATAATTTACTTTTATTCCCAAAAACAGAATAAGAATAAATAGAATTTTTGTATAAGAAAATTTTAAATAGAAAGGAGGACTTGGGTGAAATGTCGGACTTTGAAATATTAAAAAATTATGAAGTCTTTAATAGATAATGGAATGCTGACTAAGTAGTTAAGAAATTAGTGTAAAAACAAAAAAAATTTAGAGGATTTAAAAAACTTAAAAGATTTTTGTTGTTCCCCTTTCTTTATGTTAATAAATACTTAGACAAAAAGGATTAGAGTGATGTATTTAAACCAGCTGAAAAATCAAAAAAGAAAAGTAAGCATTCAATCTATTATTAGGACCTACAAGACCAAAGGTAATCAAAAAGACGAGGGTTAGTCCTAAAATATGAAAATAATTTGTATATCAATCTATTTCATATTTATCAATAATAAAAATGGGATAATGCAAATGTTTATAAGCACCAAAATAATTAACCATCGAAGGAAATCCTATTTAAGATTCTTACAGTCAAGAATAGGATTATCAAATATAAAGAATCTTACAACCTCTAAAGTTATATGAAACACTTCCATTACCTTCTTACTATTCCTAAGTAGCAGAATCTTATGAAGATTTTTCTCCTGAAAAAAACATACCTGAAGATTCTGTATGCAGAGATTTTGTTGCTCCAAATATTGAGATCAAGTAAGTACCAGAAATAACATTCTGTAAAAATTATCCAAAATCTGATAAAGCATATAAATTTGAAGGTTTCATCTATATAGGACAATGGAAGAAATTCGAACCTTATGGTTTTGGTGTTTTTATTTATAATGATGGAGCAATTTACATTGGATACAGCGTAAATCTCTGTCCTCATATTTATGGAAAGAAATAATATCCGGATGGTACAGAATATGAAGGAGACTATTTATATGGATCTCATCATGGCTAAGGTATTTTGAAAAATAAAGAGATGACCTTCGAGGGAGTTTGGAGTTAAAATGTACCAGTGAAAGGAAAAGAATTATGGAAAGATGGGACCATTTTTGAAGGAGAATACAAAGAAGGAAAGAAAAACGGGTTTGGTATTATGAAATGGAAGAATGGAAATTAATATGAAGGAAACTTTTTAAACGATTAATTTGATGGTTAAGGAGTATATAAATTCGCAGATGGATTCATTTATGAAGGAGAGTGGAGTAATTCATTTATGCACGGGAAAGGAAAATTAGTATACCCTAATTCTAGTTATTTTGAGGGTGAGTTTAATAACGATAAATAAGTTTGTGGCCTTCAATATTCATTAAATGGACTCCGATAAACTATTTCCTAATTTAGTCCTAATTCAACAATAAGTGAAAGAAGCTTTCTTAAAATTGATAGGCCAAGCATTAAAACGTCATATATTGAATTTAAGAGTGTATATGGTTGAAATTTACTATTTTTAAATTGCTTTTGTTACTTAAATAATTAAGTAGTCATATCATTATAAGTTAATGCATTTATAATTTAGAGAGCTTAATATATCTGCTTTCATCAAAATCTTATTTTATCATTATTGAATATTATTAGGATGTATTTTTTTTAATTTTAAAATAATCTAAAACAACTTAAATTCGTTTAACAAATTGAAAGTTATAAATCTAAATATTTAGATCTTGAAAACAGTTATAAGTTAAGAGATAAAATTTTTGTTGTGGAAAAATAGGTTATCTTAGGTTTTACATTTGAGATATTTTGTTTCTAATATATTTGATAGCCTTTATATAATATATGATTCAATAGAATCATTAATTAGACTCTTCTGTAATTATATTTTCAAGATATCTATAGAATATTAGTTGTAAAATTTTTGAAAATTCATAAGCCAAATTTTGATCTCTATATTTAATTTATTGAGAAATGAACTTATAAATTTTTAATGAAATAATATAAAAATTCTATTGTGATGTGAAGCAACATATAATATTTGCTTGTAAAATCAAATTTAAGGAAACGATTATTAAATTTAGATATTTTGAACATTATATAAAAAAAAGATTTGATGGAATATTTTCAAATCATTAAAAAATTTAAAACTAATTTTTTGATATTCTATTTCTTCCTTCAGATTAGTTTAATAAACTTGGCTATAATTTCTTATTCTAGCATTTGCCTGGGCTCTAAGGATCAATACAACAATAAGATAATTTAATCAACTTTTATCAATAAATAGTATCAATAATTATATTAATTGAAGGTTTCGTAATAAATTAAACTAATTTTAAATAGAGCTGATCATTTCTTCAAATCTTTTAGTTCATAAATTAGACCTATTGATTTTTTACTAGTTCATATATTGCACTGATATCAAGCCTTTAATCTTTATCTGGACTTAGGCCTAAAATATTAGATATCTTACATTTTAAAATTATAGCTTGCAGATCCTGAATAATAGTTCGAGGCCCATCGTCGACATTACTTTTTTAAGAATTTTCTAAATTAAAGCTGGATTCTTTAAAATAAGTTAGGTAATCTTTCTTAAACATAAAAGCCTGTTTGTTTATAAGAATTTATACTATTGGTAATTATACAAATAATAATTCGTAAGCCAATACACCAAAAGAAAACACATCTGCTTTATCTGATACTTCACTATTTTTTATAACTTCTGGTGCGGTAAAGGGCACCGAGAATTTAACACCATCTTTTTAAAATGGATATTCAGGATGATAAGCTTCTCCAAAATCACAAATTTTAACATTACCTTTTTTACTTATCTAGAAATTTAAGAATTATATATACCAAAACATTATCAGGCTTTATGTCTAAATGTAAAATATTCTTTTTATGCAAATGTTAAATACCCTTTACTATTTATAATAATATTTTAATTTTTCTTTTTAATGACATGACATTTTTATATTTTTGTAAATACTCTCTTAAACTTTTGAAATGATAATACTTTAATAAATATTAATCATATTTTTTATCTATTAAATAAATCTATGCTATATATTTTGAATAACTATTTTAAAAACATTTATTTATAAATTCGATTTCCTTTCTTAATTTTATTTTATTACCGTCTTTCTTTACAACCAAACTTAATATTTTTTATGGACCAATATTTATACTTGTTCTATAAATCTTATGGAATCCGCCTTAATCTATCAAATCAGTGTCATTTAATGTAGGAATTTCATAATTTAATTTAGTTATCTGATTTAACCTTTTCTAATTGGTCATAGATTATTTAGACTAGATAGTCGTTTCTTGTTATTCTTAATTTCGAATATTATTATTGATAAACTCATAGGTATTATTCAATTATTTTTATTCCTTTGGTTATAACTCATCTGAAAATTATGGAGTATTTTTATCGATCTTTGACAGCTCAGTTTCATTGGCAGATTGAGATTTATTTTTTATATTCAAATTTAAATTTAAATTCACTTCTTGATATTGACTTGGAATATACCTAGGGTCAGTTGTGTCTGAAAAATTTGAAATCTTGAATTTGAAGAAAAGGATTAATTTCTTAATTATTATTTGAAAATTTTTGTCTGCATTTTCAATAATGCTTGTAATTTGTTGTTCATTTTTGAGTTACAATTCTTTAATTTCATAAATAATCTAGTTTGTTTATCTTAAATAGCTGAAAGATCCTATTTTCAAATAATGATTTGAATTTAAGCATAGATTATTAACAATAAATGTTGGGTCTATTTTAAATCAATTAAATACCTTCTATCCGAAGTATGAAATATTAATTCACTACCACGTTCATTTAAATATTGATGAAATTGTCACTATCCTTTCTAGATGCTAATATTAAATAATTTAAATAATTGTCTGAATCATTATTTACATCATTCTTTGACCATTAGCAGACTTAATTTTCATTTTTCACAGACTTTAAGAAATTGAACAATTAAGTAAAGTCATTAAACATTTATATGTTTTCTTTTTGTTATTGTTCTTCATCACTTTTATTATTTAATTAGGGCGGCCCTCTATTCGCATTGTCTAAATTTTAACATCTTCTACTTGATTTTTCGGAAGAATTATGGTTCCTATTGCTTCTAGTTGATGAATAAATTCCTTATGTAGAAAACTCTTCTACTATTAAATTTTATAGATGTTGATGATTAAACAAACTAGTGCCATATCCTTCATTATTCTCGTCAATATTGGAGTTTAAACTAAATTAATTCTACTATTTTTTTTCTTTAATAGGCTTACCACAATGAAACCTTTCATTATTCTCAAATTTTTTCTTTTAAACATAAGTATAACGTTTTTCTTCTTACATTGTAAGCATAGGAGTATAATTAAATTACAATTATATATAAATTAATAATTATAATAATACAATCTGATTATTATGTTGGAAGTGATTAAAATAAATATTTATTAATTTTTTTCTTGTATAATAAACAATGATTATTTCTAATGTAAAGAGATGAATTAATTAATATTAATAATATGTATAAATTTGTATTTTCAAATGATATCGTGATCTATAAAATGTAGCTGATGATCTAGAATAATTATATTATTTTCTTGATTTTGTTGAGTACTCTTAATTGATAAACAATGGTTGTTACTATGTTTTGAGAATTAAACATCAATTAAAGATCCCAAAGTTTCTTTGAATATCTATAATTATTTATTTTAATCTATTTTATAAATGGTAAGTTTATTGAAATTAAATTAGAATGCCAACAATGATTTACTTATTAAATGAGCTTTAATAACTTATTTACTTAGATCTTAATCATCAAATATTTATTCAAAGTGTGGTTATTATTTTAATAATTCTGTTTATTTAATTTAATAAACTTGATAATATTAATTTTCCTAATGAAAGAATAAATAATTTTATTTACATGTTCATCAAATCTTTTAAAAAGCATAAGAATATATTCACCATCTTAAATTATTTGTTTTAAGAAACCTTCAAATGGAATCCAAACCCAGAGTAATTCATCAATATTATTAGCATTATAAACTTTAATTTTACAATATGAATCTCCTAAAATAATGACTTTTTGATCATTAATTTCTAGATACTTAAAGCATTTAGGAATAGCTAGATTAGTTTATATTGGTGTCATTTCTTTCGTAATTGATTATATTCCTTCCTATCCTAATTGAAATGACCACATATCTCCATGTTTATCACAAACATAAACACTATCATTGCTTTCATTGACTGTGATTCTCTTCACCTTTTTAAGAAGCTTAAGAGTGAAAGTCAACTAAAGGTTTTTATAAACTTTGACTGTCTTATCCAAACATCCCACTATAATGAAATCCTTATAAGTTATGACTTCTTTGCCTTTTATGTCTAACACTTCATGTTATTAATCTTCCTAAACAACTGCAATATTCTCAGATAATCTTAATCCGAACATTACATTTAATATAAAATTTAATTATCAAATTTTAAACCAAAATTAACAACATTCTTATTCGGAAACTCAAAGTTTATAAATAAAATTGGTTCATATATTATAAAAGAAGAAAAAGATAAATTAAACCACTAAGAAGTTTTTATTTACGTAATCCTTAGTTCTAATTGTCCATTCTGAAACATAGAAGGAGATAAAAGAATTTTTGTTATACAAAATATTTTAGAATTTTTATTCTGCTATAAAATGAGACCTAAAAAAGGAGTAACAGTACTTTATTCATCAATAATTTAAATAATGAATAGTTTTAACAAAAGGGACATAATAAATAGTTAATCACTTTAATAAATAAATATATTGCAAAGAAAAGATTATCTCAAATTAAGGCCAAAAAAGCTGAATAAAAGAATCTTAAACATTCGATGTAATCAAAACAATGGATAAAACCTTAAAAATAATTCAGCTCCTTTATTAATGGTTTCTTAATTGAACTCGCCAACAATTCTCCAAAAGAGCTCTGCAAACAATAGTTTTATAAAAATAATTGAAGCTTAAGCTATTATTACCATACAATTTTTATCTACTAAGAAGTTTATTGATTTCTCTTTAAGAATATTACCTGTATTTTTTAAAATCTTTCGATTAAGCACAATTCCAAATATTATAATTTTTATTCTAGTAAAATATGATTTGATCAAAATTATTATAGTAGTCTAACAAAATTTTCTTTATTAATTATCCCTTATTAATCAGAATCACATTTTTTGAGCACTTCTTCCCAATGAGTTTAATCTATTATAATTCCTCCAAAAACATCCTCTAGGTTTTCCTTTTTGACGAATCCATCGTTATCTAAATCAAATTATTTAAATGCCTGTTCCAACTTATTTGTTTTTTCTGACAATTCCTATCTTATCATTATGCTCAGAAATGCGTTGTACTCAATAGATCCAGTTTTATTAAAGTCACATTATTCCATTATTTTATCTATTTATTTCTCAATCTGAATTTCATCTAGTTTCAATTCTTTTAAACCAAAGATCAAATCCTCTCTATTTATTCTACCATCTCCATCCTTATCTAATGATTGGAAATTCCCTAGAATCTTTATCTTGTCTTCAGGTGTTAAAACCTAAAAAGTTATATATTATTGAATTAATTCTTATATAACATTAGATTACTAAAAATAGATTTCAATTAATTACATCAAACTTTTATAAACTATTAAGGGCTTTTGAATCTATTGTATTATTTATATGTTCCTATAGCCAAGGATCTAGATATGCTTCTTCTGCTGATATTCGTTTATCTGGATTATATGTCATAAGTTTCTTAACAAACTTCTTGGCTTCTGGAGAAATTTGAGCCCAATCATTTTTATCAAAACTCCATTTATCATATTCTATCAATAGTTGTGTTTGTCTAGCATCGCTACCATTGAAGGGGAGATACCCACATAATAAAGTATAGAGGATAACTCCACAAGACCAAATGTCACACTTTTCTGTGTATTGTTATTTAAAAACTTCTGGGGCGGTGTAATGAGGCTAGAAACTAATAAGATTGCATTATTACCGTCCCTAACTTAGATGTAAGGTATTTTTCTTGGATAATCTTACGAGATGTACCAAAGTCTATAACCTTTAGAACTGGTTTTTCTGATACTATATTTAGCATTAGATTTTCTAATTTTAGATCACGGTGAACTATCTTGGCTTTATGACAGTATTACAAGGCAGATATGAGTTATCTCATGTAATAAGCAGCTTCCGCTTCAGAAAATGTTTTTTGTGCTTGTATTTTTTATATAAGTGAACCTCCTTAAATTAATCTAAAAATCTAGAAAAGCCAAATACTCAATAATTAAATAATAGTTTTTTGCATCTTCAAATAGTTCAAAAAGTCTAACTATATTTGGATGATCTAATTTACGAAGAATGTTGACTTCTGCAAACATTTTTTCCTTTTCTTCATTGATTATCTTTTTTTTGGCCAATGTTTTTAAGGCCCTTACCTATCCACTTTGCTTTTGAGTAGCTTTCATAACTTGTCCAAATGCTCCAACTCCAAGAACATCACCAAATGTATAAAAATTCTCTATCTAGCCATTTTTTAAGTTTATGTAAAGATCAGTTCCATATTTAAAACTGTTACCAGTGTGCCTTCGACCAGGACTACTTGGCCAGTGCTTCAGCTTCAAGGCCAAATCATCCTTCTATTTTTTAGATGAACATATTCCCATTTTGTAAAATTAAAATATAATATTGAATATTAATCATTTTTGTTGATTTTTACGCTAAGTTTTTCTAAGTGTTGAATCTAATTCTTTTTTTCTAATTCTGAGATCTTTTGGAGTTACTTCGACTAATTCATCATCTCTAATGTAGGCTATGACATCCTCAAGAGTAAATGTTTTGGGAGGGAATAAACTTATCTTTTCATCAGCTAAAACTGTTCTAACATTCGTTAATTTCTTTTCTCTTATGGGATTCACTTCAATGTCTTATTCTAATTTGTGTTCTCCAATAACTTAACCAACATAAACCTTTGATCCTGGTTTGACAAATAATGGTCCAAACTTTTGGATATCTTCAAGAGCATAGCCTTAGCAAGCACCTGCAGCCATAGAAATGATGGCTCCCTTTAAATTCTTTTTCAAAGTTCCTCTATATTCTTAATAACCTAAGAATTATTATTGCATAATGGCTGTTCCTCTAGTGTCATTAATTAACTCTGCTCTTAGACCGACTAGACCTCTAGTTGGTGCTGAGAATATTAATTTAACTCTAGATTTATCGATATTTATGCAATCTTCATAAATAGCTTTCCTTTAGGACATTTTATCAATTAAACCAGTCATGTATTGTTAATCAATTTCAATAGATACTTTTTCGATTGGTTCCAAAGTTTTGCCGGTCTGTGGACATTTCTTAGTAACGATTTATGGTGGTGAAACTTACATTTCAAATCCCTCCCTTCTCATATTCTCAAGCAAAATAGCAAGGTGGAGATCTCCTCTTCCTAACAATTATACACAAGCACTATCGTCTGATTTATCTTTAACCATCACTTATAGTGCAACATCGCTTTATCCTTCTCTCATTAATCTATCTTTAATCTATTAAGCATTTAATTTTGTTCCTTCTTTTCCTGCTAAAGGACCAGTATTCACACCAATTGATACTGAAATCATAGGAGGATCAATAGGGATGGATGGAATCACTTCATTTTTTCCCATTTCATTTAAAGTATTAGTTACGATTGCATTAGTAAATCCTGCAACTTAGACAATATCTCCAGCAACAGCTCTTGCCATTTCTAATTGTTGCATTCCATATCTTCTTAAAATTTTCAAGACTTTTGCAGTTTCAACTAACTTTCCTTATTGGTCAACTGCTAAAACTTTATCGTTGAGTTTGATCTCTCCCTGATGAATTTTTCCTATCACAATTTTACCATAATATGGATGACTTTCTTATTATGATACCAACATTTTGAAATTGCTTTCAGTGCCAATTTATGGTGATGGGATAGTTTCAACAATAGTTTCCAATACATCTTCTAATCCTTGCTTTTCAGCTTCCATGGACCCTTTTCTGACCCATCCTTCTTTGCCTGAACAAAAATACAAAGGATAGTCAAGAGATTCGCTTGGAGCATCTAAATCACAAAACAAGTTAAAGATTTCATGCTCAACTTCTACAGGTCTAGCTGTTGGTCTATCTACTTTATTAATGATGACAATTGGTTTCAAATTTGATTGCAAGGCTTTCTATAAGACAAATCTAGTTTAAGCCATTGGTCCTTCGGTTGCACAAACCAATAAACAAACACCATCAACCATTGACATAATTCTCTCTACTTCTCCTCCGAAATCTTGATGGCCTGGTGTATCCACAATATTTATTTTGCTTCCTCCAAAAGTAACACCGGTCACCTTCGATAAAATAGTAATTCCTTTCTCTTTTTCTAATGCATTGCTGTCCATTGAATCATATTCATTTGCACAACCACTTGCTCTTAATAAAGCATCTACAAGAGTCTTTATCAAATATGATCAAATATTTACTGTTTTTCCATGGTCAACATGGGCTATGATGGCCACATTTCTAAAAATGTCTCTTGATTCTGAATGCAAGATTTTTAATATTTCCTATAGATCTCTCAAATAATATTAGTACATCTTTAGGAGCAACTTCGACTGCACCTGAAAACTATCTTACAGAGACTCTATGGAAAATTGAACTAATCTATCTCAGTGTTCTGAGCATTAATTTTAGCACCACTAATAAATTTATTTTGCTTATCAATCATAATTCTTGAGATGATATATATGTATATATTGCATTATATAAATTATTTAATCATTTAACAGAAAGTATGCTTTGGAAACACTTATCAAAGAGATCTATTTCACCACAGAATAAGGAAAACTTAAATCAACAGGTTGTACATATTTTGTTATCAAAGAGGTTATAACTAGAAGGAGGGATAGCAAGATTTCAAATCGATATCATGACAACTCTTCTTAACTCAAAATCATCGAAAACTATTAAATACTAAAATAACCAAAAGCAAATACATTGGATCCCCTTTTTGATGTAACTCTATGAAATGCAATTCATAAGATTTAACATTAAAACTATTCAAAGAATCAATTATTGACAGAACAGTAGCATTTAAAGAAATATATATGGTTGGTAAATAAATTGGTACTGGCTCCTATGCTAGTGTTAGATTATGTGCAGATAAATTAACACTCAAATCTTATGCTCTTAAAATTTACAATAAATCTGCCATCTCTTCAAGTCGTTAAAAGTCCATATTTCGTGAAATTCGTATACTTCAAATGATCAAACATTCAAATATCATTTAAATTTATAATGTAATCGAAACCAATAATCATATCAATTTACTCATAGAATATATTGATGGAAAATAATTAAATAGTTTAAAAGGATATAATTTAAAATAAGTTTTATACTAAATGGCATCAGCACTAAATTATTTACATGCTAGAAACATTACTCATAGAGATGTCAAAATTGAAAACATTCTTTATTCGGATGGATAAGTTAAATTAATTGATTTTGTTTTTTCTACTCTGTTTTCTAATTCAATCAAAAAGAAGATCTATTGTGGAACTCCTAGTTATATGGCTCCAGAAATTGTAAATAAATAATATTACAGTGGGCCCCCTGCTGATATTTGGGCTTTTGGAATTGTGATCTTTTATTTAACTCAAGGTTAGTTCCCATTCAAAGGTTCAAATGATAAAGAATTATTTCAGTTAATAATTTAATGCAAAATTAACTTTAATTCTATTAACGATCACTACTTACAAGATCTATTATGCTAAATGTTATAATTTGATCCTTAAGATCGCATCTCTGCAGCTAAGTAAATTTACTTTGTATTTAGATCCTTTTGCACCCTTGGTTTCTAGATTATAAAAAGCCAATTAGTAAATCTCAAAAATCTGGCTGTACTAAAATTAATTTACCCAAATAAATCAACCCTTATCAATAATATTAATCTACAGTTAAGAAAGCTGATAAAGCCTCAATAGAATATCAATTAGATCATTCCTAAATCAGAAAGGGCATAGTTTAATCATATATGAGTTCTGTAGCATCTACCAAATCGCCAATACTTCGAAGAAGAGATTCAGGCAATCAAACATTTGATAAAGGCAGTAATTCCGCACTTCATTTGTTTAAATACTGTTAATGAAATCAAAAATTGATCTAACTTCTAAATATTAATAATACGAAAATGATAGTATTAATTAGTATAAATGAATAAAATTTCTTTCAAGTCAAAATTTATAATATTAATACAACCAACTTTAATTAAGAAGAAAGACAAAGCATCCATTTCTGAAAAACAATCTTGTAATTATATTAGATTTAAAAAGAAAGATGAAACTCTAATCTAATAAATTTTAGTGTTTAGACAGGATCAAAAACTGTAAATTTTATTTCATTTAAGAGAATTCATATTGGATTAATAGGATTGATGTTTATTTATATGCAGTACTCTATTTATTCTAAATTTCTGAAGGATAAAAAAGGTTAAAATGAATTTCAAAGATTAATATGATTAAATATTTATAGTTATACCTTTTTAATTTGGTATATAAATAAAATTTAATAGAAAGATGTTAATAATCAATATATTGAATCTCTTATTATATATATGCTATGTTTAAATATACATAAGTTATTTTATCGATAATACAATGAGTTTTTATAAGATAATTAAATCTATTTACTTTAAATGAAGTATTCTAATATTAATACAGTTAGATTAGATAAGTGAACAAATGAAGAATTTTCAAAAACCCAAGTAGAATTCATAAAATAAAAAATAAATTAATAAAAATTTAATTTAGTCACCTCGAAAAGGTTTTATAAGAAAGAATGTCTAGCCATTTATTAGATTGGATTAAATTAAACAGAATTTAATAAATTTTATATTTTCTGAGAAGTTGAATTGCAAAATATTTTGGTATAAATTCATAAAAGAAAATAAATCAAAAAATAAATACCCATAATAAGAGCAGCTCTAATTAATGCCCTGTAATATTCAAAATTATTTTAAAAATAGCCTAAAATTGCGATTCTTCTCAATGCCAAGAAATTACAGTTTACAGAAGACTAACTCAAATTAAAGAGGAATTCTTATCGCAGCCTTCTAAATCAAGCAACGTTACTAGAATATTTAATTGGTTATTCCTCTTCAAAGTAGAATTCATTATTGAAAATAAAGAATGCCATTATAAAAATGATTATATAATAATTATGTCATAAAGTGATGAGAATGATTAATTCCAACAAATTTTAAATTCACTTGAGATCAGCAAGCGAAAGATGAGTATTTCTGTTCATCAGTCCAAACTATTGGAAGAATCAAAAAGTTACATATTCACTTTATAAATTTCTTAGAATAATAAAGCAAACGATTTACTATGGAGCTCCCTAAAAATATTGAGGCCTCTCAATCTCAAAAAGAAAGAATCATCACTAATCATCTTTTAAAAGATTTAGCCCCCCTTGACAAATAGAATGAAGAAAATCTGAAAACTCCTAAAGTACCACCAACAAATAAAATAAAAACCATTAAAAAAGGAATTTTATTATTAGGCTAAAAGTTTCATAAAGATTTGAGCTTCTATTTAAAAACAATGGAACCTTTAGATTTTTAAGAATTGTAATAATCAAATGAATTGTTAATATAAAATGCTTTATGCGCTGGTAAATATGTAAATGATTATGGGTTATTTTGTGTGTTAAAAGAAGCTTTGAACAAAAAAAATATCAAAACAATCATATAATAAGATTGTATTGTAGATGAAGATGGCAATTTTGCAGGAATACCATAAAATACAAAAAATCTTAGAAAGACATTGGGTTTACAGGAACTTCATTATTGCAGTGGAAAAATTTCATTATTAAAATTTCATATAAATAATAGGTTTAATTTATCTAATTACATTTTTTGGTCAAAAGAACTTGAGAAATTGGAAACTGTAATAAAAGATAGCCTTTTGAGTTAAAATTAGTAGATATTAATGATAAGAATAGATGAAACATATTTAGAATTTACTATTCCTGATTTTGATGATAATCAATCTCCATAATTTATGTCAAAATTAAGGTAACAAAATTTAGATGTCTAAGTGTTACCATTAATTACTCATTTCACATTTAGATTGTCTGACTTAAATCCATGGATGAATAAAGAGATAAACAAAGAATGGAAATTATTTTCGGTTCAGTGTGATCAATAATAATGCATTGGATATATTGATATGAATTAACCTACTATTTTTAATGAAATTCCTAGTCCAAAAACTTTGGCCATCAAACTTTATGGCGAAATACATCAATATTAACTAGTTTTATAGATGAGTGAAAAATAAGTAATGGGAATTTTACTAAGAGACAAAGCTTGATTTTTAGACTCTTTAACAAGTTGATTATTTTTATATTAATTTAAAATAAATAACAAAATGGAGTATTTAATATTATATATAGGTCAATATTAATTAATTAATTCATTTAATCGATTTCTAGAGTGTTATTCGATTATTGTAATCCATAAAATTTTCTTTAAAATCTTATCTAGCAGATTGATCAATATCATTCATTAACTGAGTGATATTTTCCCTTGAACTTCGATGAACAGATTTGCGAGCTAAGATTCTGTTTTTGATTTCATCTATTTGCATTTATGTTTTACTCGGAGGAGCCACTTGTAATCTTAATTAAGCAATTATTTAATCTTTTTAGTCTATTTCTTATTAGATTAATTATTTTTCTTCATTTATCAATTCAAAGGCCTGATTAAATTCTTCTGATTATTTTTCTAATTGATCTCTTAATTATTCGAAATCTTGAATCAGTAACTAATTTTAATGTTTACTCTATTGTAATTCTAATTGTAATTTTCTTATTTATTCTATAAAATATTATTAATAGTGTACATTTTAACTATTTATTCTCTTCTCTTTAATCGACATCGTCATAGGAAATATTTTAAGGAGTGTATGATCCCAAATCTTATCGTACTACTTATTAGCTTCTATTAATAAATTATTATCTTGTTAATCTATCTTCTTCTACTGATTTATTCTTTTATGAGTGATTTATTTATTTTTGAAGTATTTATTGTAGCCTTTGACCAGGATTATGATTTTTATTTTATTAATACATCTCCAAATATGATGAATCTAAAGTATTGTCATCTTTTAAGATGAATTTAGGCTGACCAATAGTTTTCTTAGACATAGATGACTTGCGAGGGATCATAAATTTAAAATATTTCTAATTATTTTAACGTTATATATTAATTTATCATAATGTTTTTAGGAGTGTATTTGAAAATGCACATATTCCAAATGTTCCAGGTAATACATATGCAAAAAATCTTTCACTTCTTAAGATATTGAAATTAAAGAATAGTACCCAATAACAAACTAACCACAAAATAGTCAATTGTCCAAAAAACTTTGATCTTCATATAATAAGATATTCTATACCCAAATAAATACATTAAGGAACTCAAAATCCCTAAAATAGAGATAGCTTCTCTAATAAAATCAATTCTATTCAATATTTATAATAATGGGTTAAATAATCTTGCATTTTCTCTTGACATTCTCTCAAATCTTTCTTATGACCAAGGATCAAATAATAGCTAAATACAGATTGTTTACACTGTTGTAAATATTAATAATTGAATGAGAAGGTGCTATATTTTCATAAAATAAAATTAATATATATATATCCCCAATAATATAAATAAATAAAAAATAAAGAAATAGTAATTTTTACTATCAAAATGTATCTTCCACAACCCAAATATCATGGCCAGGCTATTAAGTTACACAAACTTCCATATGACCTTTAAGTACAGCTTTATTTTTGGTACCAGATAAATAGGTGTTGGTTTGAGCATGTTTAATTCCTTATTAAAGATAAATTCAAATTCTTACTAATTAGATTATTGCTATGCAATTTGTTAATTTATTTAGAATCATTAATAATCTCTATTATCCAATAATCATCCTCTGTTAAATCTTAAATTATATCAACGCAGGAAACTTGTTGTAATTTTGATTTAGTTAAGATGTTATTGCTAGATCTGAGGATGCATTTGGTGATCTTGTGTTGAATCTTAAAATATAAAATTTAAATACTGCCACTACATCACCATCTTTAACAGGTTCATAATGATTAGTTAAAATTAACCATTCATCATAATCGTTCTTTTCAATTTCATTGCATAAACTTACTTCATGTTGTTTTAAGCCTTTGTCTTGCTTAATAGCATGAGAATGCAATTTTCTACCATTACTAATATTGATGAATTGAACTGATATTCCTGATGTAATGGCACTGCCTAATGGTTTCACTTTAGATACTGCATTGGCTAGAGTTGATCTTTTAACTTAGTTTTCTTCCATTATTGTATATATGGAGTATAAAGAGGACTATTATAAATATGACTCCTCTTCTAGTATGACACAATCCGTAATGTTCGGATTTAACAGTTTAGAACTGTATGTTCTATTCATTGGCTAAATTGTGGGTTTTTAAGAGTTTCTTTATATGCTTCTTTGTTCATCGCCTTCTTTTGTAACACACTAACCCATTTTGATTAATATAATATAGAATTAAATTATTAAATAAATACAAAAATTTGTATCTCTAAACTTTGGGTTTCCGAATAAGAATGTTGTTAATTTTGGTTTAAAATTTGATAATTAAATTGTATATTAAATTTAATGTTCGGATTAAGATTATCTGAGAATATTGCAGTTGTTTAGGAAGATTAATAACATGAAGTGTTAGACATAAAAGGCAAAGAAGTCATAACTTATAAGGATTTCATTATAGTGGGATGTTTGGATAAGACAGTCAAAGTTTATAAAAACCTTTAGTTGACTTTCACTCTTAAGCTTCTTAAAAAGGTGAAGAGAATCACAGTCAATGAAAGCAATGATAGTGTTTATGTTTGTGATAAACATGGAGATATGTGGTCATTTCAATTAGGATAGGAAGGAATATAATCAATTACGAAAGAAATGACACCAATATAAACTAATCTAGCTATTCCTAAATGCTTTAAGTATCTAGAAATTAATGATCAAAAAGTCATTATTTTAGGAGATTCATATTGTAAAATTAAAGTTTATAATGCTAATAATATTGATGAATTACTCTGGGTTTGGATTCCATTTGAAGGTTTCTTAAAACAAATAATTTAAGATGGTGAATATATTCTTATGCTTTTTAAAAGATTTGATGAACATGTAAATAAAATTATTTATTCTTTCATTAGGAAAATTAATATTATCAAGTTTATTAAATTAAATAAACAGAATTATTAAAATAATAACCAAACTTTGAATAAATATTTGATGATTAAGATCTAAGTAAATAAGTTATTAAAGCTCATTTAATAAGTAAATCATTGTTGGCATTCTAATTTAATTTCAATAAACTTACCATTTATAAAATAGATTAAAATAAATAATTATAGATATTCAAAGAAACTTTGGGATATTTAATTGATGTTTAATTCTCAAAACATAGTAACAACCATTGTTTATCAATTAAGAGTACTCAACAAAATCAAGAAAATAATATAATTATTCTAGATCATCAGCTACATTTTATAGATCACGATATCATTTGAAAATACAAATTTATACATATTATTAATATTAATTAATTCATCTCTTTACATTAGAAATAATCATTGTTTATTATACAAGAAAACAATTAATAAATATTTATTTTAATTACTTCTAACATAATAATCAGATTGTATTATTATAATTATTAATTTATATGTAAAAGGATAAGGAAGATTCTTCTTAAAATGTTAATGTAAATTCACCTTAACAAGCTTTTACATTATAAAAAGAGAATGGTAATATAGAAGGAGTATTGTACGATATTTAAATTGATATTCCTTAAAAAGATAAAACCTAATTGGATGAATAAGCAGAATTTAAAAACATCAAGATATTTAATGAATATAAAGAATTGTTCAAATTCTTAGAGTCTTTGAAAAGCGAAATTGAAGTCTGTTAATGGAAAAAAAAGCATGAAAATAATCATTAACCTTCTGAAAAAAAGGCATTTTCTGATTATTCAATATCCGCATCTAAAAATGATGACGGCAAATCGATCTCTATGTAAATGAATATAATGACGAGTTAATATGAAATAATTCTTATTTAAGGTATTTAATTTATTTAAATAAGACTAAACATTTACTATTAATAATATTTGCTTAGATTTAAATCGTAATTTTAAAATAGGATCTTTTGTGTATTTAGATTAAACAAACTAGATTATTTATGAGATTAAACAATTTTAACTCAAAAATAAAGATTAGATTAGGTGCATTATAGATGATGCGATCAAGAATTTTGAAAAAATGATTAAATAATACATATACCCACTTGTATTCAAGATTAAAAAAATTAAATCCACATTTTTTTCTGAACTAAAGTCGGAAAAAAGGGCAGATAATACCTTAAATGAAAAAGTAGACACTGTATATGACTCTTCAAATTTTAGTAAGTAATAAATAATCGGTGAGAAATCTATTGAGGAATTCAAAAATTCAGATTATTTAACAAATGAGGAGAAAAAAGAATCTTCAAATAACTTAGAGGAGCTAAAATAAAAAAAATCAAAAATAAGAATAAATTTCAAAAATTGTTAAACCCCAAAAAACTTAAAAAAAATAGAAAAGAAGGATAGAATATTTCAAATATGAAATTCCTCAATTAAATGAAACTAATTTGATAGATTAAGGCGGATC